CGGGACGATGGCGGCGGCGGGGAGCAGCGCCTCCGGGAGCGGGATGGCGCAGAAAACCTGGGAGCTGGCGAACAACATGCAGGAGGCACAGAGCATCGACGAAATCTACAAGTACGACCGCAAGCAGCAGCAGGAGATCCTGGCGGCCAAGCCCTGGACCAAGGAGTGAGTGGGAGCTGGGCGGCGGAGCGGGCGGGCGGGCGGTGAGGACCAGCCTGATCTGACGGCTCTGCCTTCCCTTCCGCGGCCTCTCTGCGTTGTTGCAGCCACCATTACTTCAAGTACTGCAAGATCTCTGCGCTGGCGCTTCTGAAGATGGTGATGCACGCCAGGTCCGGCGGAAACCTGGAGGTGATGGGGCTCATGCTGGGCAAGGTGGACGGGGAGACCATGATCATCATGGACAGCTTCGCCCTGCCCGTGGAGGGCACCGAGACCCGCGTCAATGCGCAGGCCGCCGCCTACGAGTACATGGCTGCCTACATCGAGAACGCCAAGCAGGTAAGGAGAGATAGCAGGGGGTCTGACCTCCCCGTGGAGATCCTGTGCGCCTTGTGAGCTACAGGAACATAGCTGGGGGGTTGCAGGCTTCCTCCCTCAGTGATGAGGTGCCTGCCCGATTGTCCTGTCTCTCCTCAAACATGTCAGTAAGAACTATGTCAGCAGCACGGAATGCAGGGCCCTGTAAACATTTTCATATCCATGTTTTCCTGACTTACGCTAGGTCATCAAAGGTTGGACATGATGATCTTGGAGGTCTTTTCCAACCTTAATGATTCCATGAAAAGTAGTAAATTATTTTTATTGCTGAGGAAGTGTTTTTATGTCTGAGGCTGCTGGCTGTTTGAGAGAGTGTGTTTCTAAAATAACTGATACTTCTTCTAAAAACAGTACGCAAAGTTATATATATGTGAGCATTGGACTTAGTGTTTGTAGATCAGAATTACGACATTCATTCTTACCTTCTTCTGAGGTCTTACTGTATACTATGCTGCTCTTTTCCATAAAAAAAATATACATATTTGTGAAGAAAATGCCAGTGAAGGATTAAGTAAGTTTTTGTGCAACTTAATTATTCATATTTATCATTTGGAAATTTGGATGAACAGACTTGCTTGTCTGCTTCCTATCTTTGTCTCTTTTGATTCAGACATCCATGTCATATTAAAGATGATTATACAATGAAGTTCTTATGTGCAGAAGGATAACAAAAATGCATGTCTACTCTGTGACTGATGTGGAAACCAGCATAGCACATCACAGCACTTGCTGATGTGCTTCTTCCAATACAGGACAATTCTATACTAGAAATAAGAGTTGAAATATCTTTAACTCTCCAAGCTCAAGCAGTTCTGATACCCAGTTGACCCACTGGTTTTTAAACCAGCTAAAATTAGAAGCCCCTTACATACTGAGTGGATATAACAGAGGAGTATTTGGGTTATTTTGGAGAGTGTACTTATGTTCATAACCTTACATAGAGTTGAAGGTATTGAAAGGGATTTGCATTAGGCTGAATCATAACATCAGCAAAGAGTAAACATAATGCAGAAATAATTATGTTCTGGGACTTAAAATTTTTAATAATTCATCTCTGTGAGAAAATGTGGAAATAATTCATTTAATCTAGTTTATCTGAAAACAATGTGATGCTAATACTCTTGTTTCAAAAAGTAGGTGACTTGAAGAGATGTCTTTGCCTAACGATGCAGTCATACTATCTTTAAGTAAAGATACAGTCATAGAATCACATGGTTAGGCAGAAATACTGATTTTCAAAATGGTAAGTATATAGCATAAAATTACAAACAGCTTGCCTTATGTTTAAAACAGTCCAGGTTTCTGTAGGAGTTTTTATGTGATAAGAAATGTTTTTTTTCCTTGTTTATGTTATTCCGTTTTGTCTATTCTTGGTTTCACAATTTTGAAACTTGACTTGTGTGCAAATAAAATAACTCAGCTTTCCTGGTGCTCTGGCAGAGTTTTCATGCTTCCTGTTTCATATTTGATTTTGGCAAGCACTTGTTCTTGGAATACCTCTTTTTATCATTAGATAGTTGGTTAATATATCCCCCTATATAAGTGCTTTGTAGATGCTGCTGTTACAGTTGCTTCACTCTCCAAGGACAGGATCTGTTCTTAATGTACTTCAGATAGCTTATTTGGCTTTTAAAAATAACACACATTCTTTACTGTTTTGTTGGTGTCTCTCGTGGGAGCTGTATAGAAAGTATAAATATTCTATACCAGTTAAGAAGTAAAGTATTCAGTTTGTCTGTTCTGTCTTATCATTCCTGGAGCAGCCAGTAAACAATTCCTTAGAGAGAATTACAAAAATTAGGTCCAATGGGTGTTTATTCTCCTGAGGTTTTTTTGGCTTTGCTCCTTTCTCTTCCAGCATTTTTAGAGATGGTCATGTGTATTATTTGGAAACTCCTATTTTGAGGTTTTATCTGTTAAAAAGTTGTCAAAAATTCATCTTTTGGCTTTTAAACCTGTCTCCAGGCAATAATTTCTGTTGCTTCTAGTGTTTGAAAGCATGCTTTTGAAGGTATTTTTTAAACCTACCACTAATCTAATAGTATATGCCTGTGAGATATGTTACCATATTAAATAATTCATTTTCTACTGATGTTCCCTACATTATATGGGATTACTTGTGTTACATCCCTAAGAAATTCCTCAGCCCTGCTGAGGAGCCACAGCCCAGTTCCAGCTGTGTGGAACCTCTTCTGTACTTCAGCTGTCACTGACAAAGGAGCTCCAGGCTCCTTGAAGGCCTTTGTTCTTTGGCAGCAGCTGTAGCAGAGAATGCCAGTACTACTCATTCTACGGGTTCTAGGGAATACTTTATCACGGGTGGGAACTCGTTTTTATCCTGCCGCGCCTTGCAGTGTGCTGGAAATGCCGCTGGAGGGCAGCCGGTACTTTGGGAATGGAGCTGAACGCTGGGGCTGTTTCCCTTCCCTGCTCTTCCTTAGGTCGGACGCCTGGAAAATGCTATCGGCTGGTACCACAGTCACCCCGGCTACGGCTGCTGGCTCTCGGGGATCGACGTCAGTACCCAGATGCTTAATCAGCAATTTCAGGAGCCCTTCGTAGCAGTGGTTGTAAGTACTGGCTGGTGGGTGATAACCCTGCCTAGCAGATCATGTTGAGGGGAATAATTTTTGGATTTCTGTATATTAGCGTTTTAGTAGCATGTACTTTGTATGATGGAGGTGTTAGATCCACACTTTAAACTGGTGCCACTCCTGCTTTGCTGGCCACATGCTGGCAAAACCAGTAGTGTAGCTTGCCTAGACCATTTTCACTGCATTGTTACAGTTGTGGTGTAATTCTTAAGCATAAGGGGGGTTTATGTGCTTAGGAAATAAGGAAAATTAGTTTGAAAAAATTATCTACTGAAGGCTGTTGATAATCCCATCTCTTTAGAAAGTCTGATACCAACAGAAAAAGTACTGTTTATGACAGAACTAATACAATTTGTATGAATTGCATTTCTGAAATAAAATTACTATAAACTTAATTTAAACCTGTAATAAATAATAAAATGTATGTAATGAGTGTTACCTGAACTTCTACAGATTGATCCAACAAGGACAATATCTGCAGGAAAAGTAAATCTTGGAGCTTTTAGGACATATCCTAAGGTAAATAGTTAAAACTATCTAAAATTAGCTAGTGTGTGAACACTGAACTGTCTTTAAATGATTGTCTGAGTGTGGTCTGCTGTGCTGTGCTGAATGTTCAGTCCAAAGGAGATGTGCCCATACACTGGTTACTGCACAACTTTGGATATTGATTACATTTCTAACAGTTGACTTGTAGTTAGGTTTTCATAGAGTTTTGGTAGTGTTAAATCAATTACACTGCCAGATTGTGGAGCTGTCCCAAAATTATGTAGCTCCATATAGCTGGTTTCTAATGGATATAGCTGTAGGTGGTATTCATCAAAATAGTTTTATGTTAGCTCTTCTCTGTTTATTTTTCAGACCTAAAACCAAATGTCAATAGCTTGTTTAATATGTTGTAATTTGCTTTTCATTTTAGAAAAGGAAGGTTCAAAAATATCTACTTAACTTTTTCAAATGAATATTATGAATCTTCACAAACTAATATACAAAAAAGTTAATGAAACAATATGGGTTAGACTTAAAACTAAAAAAAATCACATCAGTATTGGAGATTTAGGTCTCCGAATGCATCCTCTCCTGTATACTTCTGGCTGTGCTATTTAATTTCAATCCAATAAAGTTCAGTAAAGTAAATCTTTTAAATACCCAGTTATTAGTGACTCATTAAGAACTTCAGGCAGCCATCCAGTAAAACAATTACCAAAATTAATTGTTTCTTGAAAATTAAATTTTGTAATTGACTAAAATGTTTGAGAGGGGTACAGGCATTATATTTGTGTTGACAAAAACATATGAGATGTTAGAACAGCTTGTGATTCAGGAGAATATGCGCTTCTATGGGCAAAACCACTTCAGAAATACTTTGAGAACTTTGAACAGGGAGAAGAATCCTGTACCTGAAAACCAAATCACATCTGGAAAATGCACATGAGAAGCATATTTTTAGGGAGTTCTCACAATGGACTGCAGGCAGTTCTTGCTTAGTCACTAACTGTGGATGGCACCATCTTGGCTAAACAAGTAACAGAAAGTTTTAGGTATCTTTAAGGCATATCCATGGATGCTTATTCCCTCTTCCCAAATCTTCCTCAAAGTTTCCAAGAACAGGTAGAGAAATACTGCCTAAGAAGCAGCTTGCCCTTTCTTTGATCTAAGAAATAATCTAAGCTTAGCTTGCCATGTTACTCATTTGAAAAAACTCAACTATGACACTATATATAGTTTGCTTTTCATAAACCTGAAAATGTAATGACTAGAGCAGCTAGTAAAGCCAAATCTAAACCTGAGATCCAAGAAATTCTGAATTTCAGGCTACCAGGGGAAATGTTATTTTCTCTAGACAACAATAAACTAGAATTACATAAACTGGATATTTTTTTGTGAAGTTTAGGGATTTTGAAAATCACCAGAATTACTGTGTCATCTCTGTCATTTGTTAAATTTTTAGGGCTATAAACCTCCAGATGAGGGTCCCTCTGAATACCAGACTATTCCACTCAATAAAATAGAAGACTTCGGTGTACATTGTAAACAGTAAGTAACAAAAAACTACTAAAATTATTATTTCTTGTGTGTTTAGGTTAATGATTCAGTATGGAAAAGTAAATTCCTTGTAGTGTTTCAAATCTTGAAGTTCACTGTTGCTTTAGCGCTCTCATTTTTGTGCCAACAGCAGTTACTGGCATTTATCAGGAGATGTTTTTGACACGGTGCCGGATTTTTTCCCCAGCCAGCTCCCAGCACCGTGCCAAGAGCGGGCTGCTCCTGGAAAGCAGGGCAGCTTAGGGCTTATGCTCTGTGGCACTGGCTGTCCAGCGTCAAGGATAGGAGCAGGGACGAGGGAGGGGTCTTCCATGTGGCTTCCAAACAGGATTTATTCTCTTGAAGGTTCCAGGGGAGAAAGACAAAAGATACAGGGGTACAGCAACTTATGTGTGGGGGAGGAGCAAGGGGAGTGTACAAATAATAAACCAATAGGAAAGCCAAAGGGAATTCTAAAGGGAGTTGGCACAACTTAATGGGAGGGGAGAACAGGGAACATTCGGGAACAAGGAGCAGGTATCAGGGTGGATTGGCAACTGGGGTAGGAGGGCACAACTGGGACCAAAGTATTAACATGGGGGGTGGGGGGGTACAACTTAACAATAATATAATTGAATCAAATATAATGAACAAGAATGCACCGCAACATGTTTTAAGGGAGAACTCTGCAAAGATAAATATGAACTTGGTTAAAAGGTCTACCAGTTGATTTCTGAACGCTTCTAAGTAGTGATGTCTTGTTGGGGCAAGGAGGAGAGGGTCAGATGTCCTTTGATCAGCAGGAGGATGTGATCCCACTGCTCATCTGAGTAGGGATAAGTGCTGTGCAGCTCCTTTTCTTACTTTACTGGGAGAGTTAATTTGCAGCACCACTAAAGCCTAGCCTAGCCTTATTTTTCTACCACAAAATAAGTGTGGTAAAATGTAAAATTGTTTGCCTGTTTGTAACATTTACTGCTACCAAGTATTCCTCAAGTAACTAGAAGTGATACATGCAAAACTACAATCATCTGTAAGTTATTACAGTGTTGAAGAACCTAAGCATGGAATAGGTTGTTACGAGAATAATTAAAAAACTCTTGCAATCTCATTTATCAGAACCCAGCAGTATGTGTGGGGATTATGTATTGAATCTCTAAATGAATTATTAATGGAAAAATGTTCAGGGAGTTGGATCTGGGAGTAACCTTAAGGGCTTTGAATTTTTAAAGATATTTGCCCTTGATAAGGATTTTTTGTGTTGCATGTACTTTGGATGAGACATTCAAGCAAGACATATTTAGATGGTCACTTATTTTGTTTGCATGGTTTTGTTTTTAAAGGTATTATGCATTAGAAGTCTCATACTTTAAATCATCTTTGGATCGTAAATTGCTTGAGCTGTTGTGGAACAAGTACTGGGTGAACACTCTCAGTTCTTCTAGTTTGCTTACTGTAAGTACTTTTTAACCTTGTATCTGTATAGAACACTGCAGTGAATAATGGCATTTAATAAGTAAGCACTTAAGAAAAAATAAACAATGGAACTGATAAAACTAGGTTGCAACAGAAATACTGCAGGTAGACCTCCAGTGTAACAGCTGAGCATCAAAACCTTCCCTGTGCAGAAGCCATTTTTTTTTTCTCTTGGTCAAAACCAACTGAGTTTTACTTATTCCTGCGTAACTTAGAGCATGGGTTGAAAGTAATAAAAAGAACCCAATTCAGACTTTAGGGATTGAGCGTTTGTCAGATGTTTGGCATCTGTTCTCTTAACCACCACTCATGTTCTATATCACTTCAATTGCAGATATAGATTTAAATATGCAGCACTGTACTTCTAAAAACTTTTCTCAGATTTTGTGTATAAATGCTTGAATTTAGAGCTTAAATTGAAAATGTTTATTACTTTCTTTTTCCTAAGAATGCTGACTACACCACTGGCCAAATCTTTGATTTGTCTGAAAAATTAGAGCAGTCAGAAGCTCAGCTTGGAAGGGGCAGTTTCATGCTGGGTTTAGAGACTCATGACAAGAAGTCAGAAGACAAACTTGCAAAAGCAACGAGAGACAGGTAAGAGAACACATCCATGTGTTCTTCTTGTGAAAAGTATTACTCGATTTTAAACTTTTATCATGCATGCAATTGCAACCTGACAAAATTAACGATAAGAATTAGATTATAGATAGGAATGAGAGACTCCAGAAATCAATAGTTATTTCTGAAAGTTAAAGAAAATATTGCCTCTATTAAACCTACAATAAATTTTGAATTTTTGGGCGGTTGGAATAAATTTAATTCTAGTTTATTAAACAAAAAATTGCTGTAAAATTCCATGAGTATCTGGAAAACAAAAAAAAAATGTTTTCTGACTAATTTAAAATTGTAACTTTGCTAGAAATTATGTGATTTTTATTGTTAATTAGGTTAAAACCAGCAACAAGTAAAATTATGGTATAGAGCTTGATTTTAAGAACTAGTGTTACCAGTCCAGTAAGTTTAGTTTACATTTGTCTAATATTTTTACTGACATAAAAATTATTAACTCCTTTTCTTCATATTTTTTAATTAACGTATCTTTTTGTTTTAGAAATGAGAAATGGTTGAGTTTTTTGTTTTTAAGAAGTAGCTTACAGATATTCTGGCCTCTATATTTAGCTTCCCTGCCTGATAGCAAATACTTGCTATTGTAAGTTAATAAACTTATCACTACCTGCACAACATTATTTCAAAGAAGTTGTAATATTTTCCCTCAGTTTTCCTTGCGTTTCTTGGGGATCAGCTCTGGTTATTTTGAACTTTGAAGCACACAAGTTGCTTCTCAGTAATACTCACATCTCTTTCCCAGTAGTCTTAAGAGTTAGATGTGCTTATAGTGCTTACACTATATCATGTTAGAGTCACCGTTTTTCCAAGTAAAATCTTTTAGCAGAGGTTAATAGTATCCAACAGCTCATACAGCTGGGCTGTTCAAAAACATTGTATTGGCAAATTTCAGACTTTGAAAACCAAGAAATAATGCACTTTATGTGGCGGTATAAATGCAGGTTCATCTGCAGAGAAGACAGGACTCACCTGCACGCACCTTAAGAGTATTCTGAGTGAGATGAAGTAATTCCATTTAATAAGGAAACAATTCTGTAGAATCCCTTGGAATAGAGTGCAAAAATTGAACAAAATCTGGGGTGTTTGTGTGTTTTCAGATTTTGAGGCTTTTTGTCCCTCTTCCCCATTACTTTATCTTGATAATAGAACAGTTTCCTGGTATTCTCTCCCCCTGACACCCTTTTGTTTAACTTTTTCTGGAAAGTTAACAGCTCTTACAAGTTTTCTAACAAACATGGTTGAGATGGAAGGATATTGAGACTTCTAAAAATTATACTCATTTAGCCTATTTTAATTGCAGAATACATTTGCAGTGGAGTTAATGCTGTTGCTAGCTCATAGCAGCCAGGTTAAGTGATACGTCCCAGTTCCTGTAGGGAAAAGAATAGCAATGCTTTAAGGATGTGAGGAGGATGGAGTTGCTGATAAGTTTGCATTGCTGTTTGGAATCCCGTAATACTGACTGCATTTTATTTTCCCTTTACTCTTACATGCTTACAGTTATTCTAAGAAATAATTCCTTCTCTGATCATGCTACTATATTACTTGTTGCAGCAGTTCTAAGTATTTTTCTTTTCTGTTTTTATTCAGTCTTCAACAGTTAGTTATTTTATAAATTGTAAGGAATTGAAAGGAATTGTTTTTGTCATAAATTCTGCTTTCCTGTGCAACAAAAGCTACCATAGTTCCCAAAATGGAGTGTAACACTTCTACGGATGTGTGTTTTCCTTCAAGTACTGCTCTTTCGTAAGAGAGGACAGTAGAAGATCTGTGCAGACACAGGACAATTCATTTAGTGCCACCTAAGTTACTCTGGAGAAATAAGGCTGCAAAGATCACTAAAGGATTGTTAGACAGCTGTTTTGGGAATACACTGCTATAAAGCATTAGCAGAAAGGTGCTTGCACTGGGCTGTATGATAACTTCTGTTACTGTCCATGCACACCTCAAATCCATTTTCTAAGGGGACATACGCATTAGCCAAACTGTGCTCCAAGTCAGCTTGATTTCCCTAGGATTCCTTTATCTGTCTAATAGTAATTTGTCCCTATTCTCCATGCCTTCAGTCCTGATTCATCTTTTGCATTTGTACAGTCGCTTCTTATTTGTTAATTTGACACTACATTGCCCTACAGGAGACATTGGGGAAAACTTGGATCAATAGGAATCCTCTCAGCTCTTTGGGGTTTTTGCACATTACATATTTTGACCAATAACTGATTTGTTCTATAAACTTTTCTTGAATGTTCCCTGTAAAGTTTCTCAGAGGGACCATGGTTACTGTACACTACTTTACTGAGCTTGGGTAAAGAAGATAAGGTAGAGAGCAGTGAGAGCCTGCAGGTATTGATAATATCAGCTGACAGCTCCACTCCACTAAGGATTTTTTTTTTTTGTTCAGATGACAACAGAACCCACTTGCTATTGTTAATATGTCCTAAATTGCAAGACAACATTTTCTGGAATTGGTCTTTGTATAGTCAGTTTGCTTTTTAAGTAACAAAAAGGTATTGGCAACAATGGCTAAATTGCTGTGTATGACTGTTCCTTTCTGGACAGTTTTTAAGATTCATGGGGTTATGGGCACCCTGAACTTCCAAAACAGCTGGATAGCTTCAAGGAAAATGACAGTTCAGTTTTTGTCCAACTTTGAATTTATGCTTGTTTTTCAGCTGCAAGACCACCATAGAAGCTATACATGGATTGATGTCTCAGGTTATTAAGGATAAACTTTTTAACCAAATTAATATAGCTTGAAGTGCATTACCTGTTGATATGTATCTCCAAAGCAGAAAATATCATAGTTCCTTCTGCTTGGACTTGCTCGGTTTGGGAAATGAAGCTGGAGTGGGAAATTATTAATTTAATTTGTAGTACTTTAATATATTTCCCACTTGTTTGACCAGTTTTAAAGAACAAAATGTTCCAAAATGTAGTGCAACTTTTTGTTCTTTATCATAAAACCAGATTGCAGAGTTGTTCCAAAGGAAAATAAATGTGAGTTACTGGATTTTGCTCTCAGATGTTTATCTCTGTTATCCAGCTGCAATAAAAGAATTTTGAAACTAAATGTGTGTTTTGGGCCTTGATATTTTTGGCAAGCATTCATCTTCTTTTGCTCTTTTTCTCAGTGTTCTGTAGAAAAGTTCTGTCTACTCAGATTACATAGGTAACCTGTGTAGTGTAAGAAGTTTGTTTCTCAGATTTTAATATCTGTGCTTAATTTTAAGAATTGAAATCCCACTTGTTTATCTTTTAACAAGTTACTAAATTTAATGGAGCCTTTCCTGATTGAGGTTTACTGGTCCAGCCAGAAATGGTTTCTTTCACAGTAATGAAACATTTATGCATGGTACAAGAGTATTTTGCTTATAGCTTCACACTCATGATGGACATGTTATATTTCTAAATGGTCAGCTATTGACCAGCTCTGCAGTGGAACTCCTAACGTTATTTTTCTTCTGCTCACCTTCTATTGCTTGTCATAGCATACTTGTCACTTGTCGCATACAAAGGAACAAAATGAAAAATTACCTTTGAAATACACATTAGGCTAATTTCAGGCCACAGATACTAAATGCATTAATCATAATTTCTAGCTTACAGCATGGTGCTGCTGCAGGGCTGATCTAAGTTTATTTTGGAGGGTTTCATCCTGCATTTCAATAATACAAGATGTTTGGATTCCTTTTAAGTTTTCATATTTAATCCTGAGTTTCCTGGGGGTTTTGGAATGTTTACTTTTGGGATAATTTATGCTTTAGACAATATGCCATTAGGCTTTATACCTTAAGTAACTGATTCTCCTTTTCAACCTTAGCTCTGCCTTGATGTGTGTTTTGTTTTTGTTTTGGTCTGGAAATTTTAATAGCTATTACTCATTTAGGCCTTTTCATCCAAACAGATTCCAGTGCATTTGAAGTTAAGATGTGAGTTATACAATGAAAAATTTTAATTCAGCAGGGAAATGCAGATACCCTGAAGCAGAAGTTCATCAAGAGTTTTAAAGAAGCAGCATCCAACTGTATAGGAAAAATATGCTTAATCATAGCTAGTAAATTTGAGATAATTATCAGATGTGCAGTTGGGTAGGAGAAAAATTTAATTCTTTGTTCAGCATGAAAGAATTCGGGAGAAGAAAACAGTTGTATTTTAATAGTTCAAGGTATTTATTTTCTTGAAAATTGCACCAGTAGACTTCTGTACAAACAAGCACAATATCTAAGTACACAGCACATCTTCTTAAGTTCAAGGAAGACACAGGAAGTGTACCTGGCCAATAACTTCTTACTGAATTTTCTTCCACAGGTCTTTGAGACTTTCAGTTGAGCATACAGCCGTTGTCCCAGTCAGTATATGTTTACACAAAGAAGCACCTTGCTTTTGTGAGATATATTTCTTAATAGGTATCTCTACTGCTACTTTGTAGACTTCTCTTTGCCTAACATGATCCAAAAGTTTTGCACATCTTATATCCACCTAAAATATAAAATAATAGTTTCATCTCATATTAGTCTGTGACTGTATTTAAACTGTCCTTGTTTGTGACAGCAGTGAACTGAATTTTTTTTGCATGTAGGCTCACACACAATGCTTTTCGTCACAGATGGCTTAATTTAAAATACCAAGTTGTTTTATAAGCTATAGCAATATGAATGCTGATGTTTAAATTTTCACATGAACAGTTGTCCATTGAGTTACGTGTCACATTACTTGCTGAACATACGGTGTTATATGTTTATATATATATAACATATATGTAATATGTATAACTGAAGCATATGTGTTTCAGTTTGAAATGATACATGTAGTGGGGCTGTACCTATTGCCTGCATAGGATCCTTTCTGCAGTGTTCAGAAACCAGAATAACAAGGCCTTTGTCTTTGAACAGCCATTTTTAATGCTAGCATTTTTCCAGATTCTGAGATCAGAATCCTGTGCATTGAAGATCATTACCATAAAGGAGTCATCCCCATCTACACTTTCAAACAGGTGTATCCTGGACAGTGGAGAATCATTACTGGATAGATGCCTTAATTTTACCAAGCTGTTGTGAGATTTCAAAATATTAGTAATAAGGGTATTCTTGAGAACAATACATGTTGTTCAGAGACATCGATTTATTCTTTCCCATTTGCACCCACTTTTTATTTAGGAATAAGTTTACACAAATAAGTGCCACATATCAGGTAGCTGACAGCTGAAGTAATGCAGGAAGTGCTAAAGAACATACAAATGTGGGTTCTCTTTGGTAAGATTTTTTAAGATAGGCATGCGTTCCAAAATACTGAGTGCCTTTTTCAATAAATAAAAATCTTAACGCAAGTAATTTCTTCATCTAACAGTATTTGCCAACATATTAAAATTACAGAATGCCGAAAATGCTGAACTGTGTTTGAACTTCTCCCCTATCCTGTTCTGTTTCTTTTTTGAAGCATACCTGTATGCTCACCTTTCTCATGTATGCAAATTACATTTTAAAATAATTTATACATACTAATGCCACCAAAATCCAAAGAAATACATTCATATTTGTGACAATCAAATATGAAGGAATAAGCTGTAATTCCTGATAGAATACTGGTTTGCCTTATTGTGAGTGGGCTAGAAGAAGAGACATTCAGATGTATTCTGTGACTACCAGGACAAAGATGCTTAATTATCCTACCAGATCTGCTCCTTTGAAGTTCCCTTCAAATGTTAGATAAGGAACGGAATGACAACTCCAATAAATTAATTTTATTGCCTGAAGATGGAATGGCTTGGCTTCTGTTGCAACCCGAACAAGAAAAAAGACATAATGATTTTTCTTTCTGTTTTCGTTTTTAAATTTACTGCATGGAGTAATTCAGCTGTAAGAGACTGGCTTCTGTTTGTTTCCATGTTGTCCTGTCCTCTGGCCTACATAAAACAAAAGGAGGCAAGAGAAGGTGAGGGGGTATGGGAAATGCCCTGCTGATGGACCATCTCCAAAGGCAGCTGTAGGAGTGCTGCAAAGGGAGAGCACCTAAACCTGGCCCCTTTTTTACCTGTTTTGAATTGATCTAGTAGCTTTCTAGAGCATTTTTTACTTCTAATAGCATGGCATGGGGTGATTAACAATTTGTTTGCTTTACCTTCCACCTTAATTAGCTAGCTTTCATCATATCGTCACCTCAGTCTTCTCTAAATTGACAAGCTTCAGCTTTTTTATGTTGTTGTTGTTGTTATAAAGCTGCCACTTTACCCACTCGATAATTTTATTTGCCCTCCATACCTCCCACATCCTACTTTGACCTTGACACACAGAGCTCAGACCTGCACTGCACTCAAGATTTGGGTGTACCAAAGTTTTAAAGAGAGGCAAAATAGTTCTCCCTCATTCCCTTGTCTCACATGTAAAAAGCTAATTAGGGGATCATTTATTGAGGTCGATTTTTTTTCTAAATATGTGTGCATCCAGCAGCTCCCATTTGTACCCTGAAGCACACAGATTTTCAAAACCTCAGCCCTTACTCTGAGGGAAAATGGGAGTTAGTAAATGTTAAGTGTTTTCCTAGATCTCTTACATTAGGTATCTACTGAAGACTGAGCCTTTCTGAAGGCTTCTGCTAAATGGGAATTTTAAATAGTAAGCTCAGTGTAATATTGAAATACTGAAATATTTCGCTGAAAAAAATACAAATTTTAGAAAATGTTTCAGTCCCAAAAACTCCTGGCACCATTAGCCACAGGTATCTGGCTTTTGTCACAAACTCTGTAATCTTTACAAGTAGCCTCACTGAAGTCAAGAAATAGTTTTGCTTCAGAAAAAGCTAATAAAAAGGCTGACCTTAAGCATTTGATTTTGATCAGCGTCACAAGTCTTTTAGTTACCTCACATTCATGCCAGGTCAGAAGAAATACTCCTTGCGCTATTCATAAATTATCTTAGATTCTAGTACTGGAATAACAAGCAACTGTGACCTGGTTACAAGAGCTCTGTTCACCATCTATCTTTGGCATTCCTTGAAAAACTCATCCCTGTTCAGACCCTATTTGACAAGGGTCTCTCTTGGTTTCCTTGTCTTTGGTGGCAGTGTGTGCACATGTGCTCAAATTAAATAGAATGAGCTCTCTTAAACTTGATATTTAGTAAATGAAGCATAATGTTCACACATTTCTATCACTTGTGCCTTTATAAAGTTTTGACTGCAGCTGGTTTTGGATGTTTTGATTTTACCTTAACTTGTCCAGTGTTTCATGAAACTTCAGTGTGGCAGATACATTTGCTTTAGAAAGTAAAAAGTTGCCATGAACCTGGGTACAGGATCACTCCTGCACAGCATAGTACATTGCCCCAAGACATGCAGTGTTTCTACAGTAGTCCTCCATTTATTATGAGCTGTAATGCCAGTTGATTATTTAATGTTGATTATGAAAATGGAAGAATACAATACTGTAAAGCTAATTGCTGACATGTTGGCATTTTTTTGTTTATAAGGTTAAAAATATAGTAAATATAATTAAGCATTAATCATCTTATTTTCTCCGTTTCGCTTTGTGGGGTTTTTTTCATATCAGTGTTATAAAATAAGTTTGGTGTGTTACTTTCTCTTTGATAAATATGCTATTTATTTTATGTATTTTTATGGCTGTGCCCCAAAAATTCCAAATCAGAATTGGACTTCCATTATATCACTAAAATTTCTCACTGAGAGGGATCAAACACTGGAATAGACTTCCCAGGGAAGTGGTTTAGTCACCACCAATGGAGGTATTTAAAAGATATGTATGTGTGGCACTTAGGCACATGGTTTTGTTGTGGACTTGGTAGTGCTAGGGCAATGGTCTTTCCAACCTTCATGATACTATATATTTATTTATTGAAATCCCAATATAAAGTATTTTGTATATCATACCATAAACTAGTTAAGATAAAATAATAAAAACAAATACTTTAGAAAGTAAAAAGCCAGAAAAATCGTAAACACTGTACAGCTGAGATAGCATCATTTTAGGGTGCAAGTCCCTAAGAGTTGAAAATTATTAAAATATGGGGTGATAAAATATAAGATTAATTGCGTGCACATAGAACTTTTTTCATGTGTCAAATCTTGAAGAACTGACATTAGAGAGTATCCAGTTTGTTGAAAGGTTTTTTCTTGAGTTAAAAACAATTATGCTAAACCTTTAAGGGATTAATGAAGTATCTTGTTCCTCAGGGTGTATTTTTATGAGTAGTTTTACTTTTCAGAGCCTCAGAATAATATCCACAAGGAAATAAGTAATTTAGGAAAGTTAATTTTGACCCTCAGATGAAACCTCTAACATATGAAATATTTACTGTGACGTTTGGTTTGTTTTTAATTATGAAAAATTGCTTCATAGAAGGCTTTCTGAAAACTACAGTATTCTGGGAAGTAGCATGGTCCAGTGGATAGGTCACAGGGCTGCATCTCAGGAGAATGGGGTTTTCTTCCTGGCTTTTCAAAAATCAGGAGTGCATAAACTTCAGCAAGGTATTTTTGCCAGAGCTAGTGTCTGTTTCCTTCTATGAAACAAGAAGATTAATCATTAGCCTTTTAAAAATGTAGATAATAAAGCATACATAAGTATTATTGGGTTTATGCACTAAAGGTCATACATCTCTAGTTTGCCAGATGTTACCACCTTTAATAACAATTTGTAATAATGCTATTAGCAAAGAATGTTTACTCTGTTTTGCATAGATTTTCTCTTTAGATCATCACAGATAGGAAATGGCTAAGCCCTTTGAGGGGATTATAAATGTATTGTTTTCAGAACTCTTCATTTTCAACTGAAACATGTATTCAACTCCTATTTAAATTTGTCCATCATTTCCTGTGTGAATTTCTGTTTGCTCTAGCCCGGATTACCTTAGGGCTTATGTGCAACTGCAGTGGCATTACTTTATTATAGAAGGAAATTAATTTATGTGCCTTCATCTAATGGCATGCAATCTTTAGTAATTACAACCATCTGAACTTTCTTCTCCAGCTGAAGACAAGTTGCGTTCACATCATTTGAGGTTAGAATTAAGCTTATATTTTAAATATTTTTCTAAGGGAGGCATTTTCAGTCTGAGTTCTACAAAGCTGGAGATCTAACTAGAGAAAATGGCAGATACTGTTTCAACTTAAACAATGTGTATGTATTTTATATGGCAATACAAGCTCCAAACTAGCTCTTCATTATTCCAAGTTTGTGTGGAAGTTCTTCCTTTTCCACTTTAAAAAATCTTCTTAGGACATCTAGGCAAAAGTCTGAGAGAAGCAAAAGTGGTTTAACACAAATATATATGTAAATCATCAGCTGGGGACAAATAACACATAAATAACATTTTACACCTATTTAAGAATGAAGAATGACTATGTGAGTACTCAGATATCTATACAATGTTTAACAAAATAATACTGAGATACCAGTACATCTTTGGGCTGTTTCTATATCATAGCAGCATATCATAATTTTTACTTTGTATTCTTGATTAATCTGTCAAACTTCATTACAATATTTGCCAAGCTGTTATTTCCTCTATGGTGAAAACTTGATGTTTTGAATTATTTCCTATCACTCATCTTTGGAGACAGAATTTTGCATTTCCCAAATCTACATAGTTATCTCTGCTGGAGGTGAGATACAATGTTCATGAAAAAAAACAAAAATACACACTACAAAGATAAAATGTATGTCCTAACAAATAGTTTTCTAATAACTTCATCTTTGTTTGCAGGCTCCAACAGATTTTAATGCTGCAGATCTGAGATGCCACTTCATTTTCTTTGTTGACTGAGGTGCTCCAATCCCAGTTGCTTAATTGTTCTGATCATGCAAGTGTGTAGTGGAGATGATTTGAAGAGGTCTATCCATCTCAGTGTGAAATTAGCTGTAGTAGTACATTGCATAAATAGAAGCAGCTCTCTAAAGCTTAACCTTACTTGTTTTAAGTTAAGCATTTAGCTTGCTCCAGCCTGCATATTGTTTGGGCTGCACAAAACAGACTCGAGAAACTTAACAACTTGTGAGTTTATAGTAGTTGTAACCAGGAAATCATGGTTTCATAGGATAAAAACTTTTATTTGAAGTCTTAAAAGAATCAAATTATACAAATACAGATCTTAACTTTAGTCTGAACCTGCTCTATTGAAAGACAGTCTCTTTAAAGGTAAGTGTACTTTCTGTTTCCTCCCTTATGTTTGGTTGTTGTGTTTTGGGGTTTTTAAAATTATAATATTATCAAGCAATTTGTTTACTCCTCATAAACATTAAAGCCTTTCATTTATCTCTGAGATCCTTTGACAAAGTTGTCCAGCTGTGTAGAGCACCAGGTTTTGCTTCTAACAGGAAAAAGACATGTAGGTCTCTTGTCTGTGCTGCTACAGAAAATGAGCCGAAGAATTGAACTGTGGCCTTGTCAATGTTCTATGTTCTTTTAAATGTAATACTTCTCCATTAAAGACTTTTTCCTTCTAACATGGCTAGCTTTCTAAAAGTAGGTTTAAGGGGTAATCTCACAAAACGAAGGCAACATGAAATGTAGACTTTTCTCCTGTTCTGAACTTACAGCAAGCCATTGCAGAAAGCTCAGTATTGCTAAATAAATGCAGAACCACTGTACTGTGCATGGAAAATAGGGAAACCAGGGCGATATGTGTTTTTGGCTTTAGGGAAAAGATATTGTGGTCAATGACATCTTGAATGCAAGTAAAACAAGAAAGTCTTGAGCATCAATATTAAACTTCTTGATTTATGGTAGACTTCTTTGTCTAAAAATAGTGTGCTAGCTAAGGAATAGTATATATAGCAGCCAAACATTCATGAAACATGACTTTATTTTGTTTATTAGTGTTAGGGCTGAATGGTCTTTACGTAGCCACAGATACCAGTATTGGGACCAGTCAGTTTAACATCTTGGTTGGTGACGTGGATAGTAGGATCGAGTGTACCCTCAGCAAGTTTACTGACAGCACCAAGCTATGTGGTGTGGTAACATGCTGGACAGGAGGGATACCACCCAGAGGGACCTCGATAGGCTTGAAAGGTGGGCCCATGCAAACTTCCTGAAGTTCAACAAGGCCAAGCGCAAGGTCCTGCACCCAGGTAAGAGCAATCCCAAGCACAGGTATGGGCTGGGCTGAGAAAGGACAAAAAGCCTGACATGTCTCAGCAGTGTGCACTCACAGCCCAGAAAGCCCAGCTGTGTCTTGGGCTCCATCAAAAAAAGTGTGGCCAGCAGGTCAAGGGAGGTGATTCTTCCCCTGTACTCCACTCTCATGAGACCCCTGTGGGGGCTGAAGTATCCCCCAACTAAGATACCTTGGCTCTCCCTTGGAGAGCTTCTCCCCAGGCGAGGCACTTCGCTCTCACAGAGAGACAAGTGTCGCTCCCAGAATTTCTTGAGTTAAGCATGTTAATTTGTTGCACCCCATTGGTTTTCCTCCCCATCAATCCACCCTGATACATGTATCCATGTTTCCCCCTCCTCTCTCCTCCCCTATATAAACCCCAGTTTTTTTCCCCAGTTTGGAGTAGAGGTGCCACTGGCTCCTTTCACAGAGGGCCCTGCTTTAATGAAAGCTGTTTCTCTGTAGAATGCCACACAGCACTTTTGTCTCTCTCTCCACATTGCCTGCGAGCTGCTGCTGAGCTGAGATCACTTGCTGGGCAAGGGACATGCCAGTGCCCCCGGGCAGTCCTTTTCAGGACAGCTTCTTCAGGGTAGTCACGGCACCCTGCCATCAACACCACTGTGGCAACCCCCACCTGGAGTACTTATGTCCAGGTCTGGGGCCCCTAACACAAGAAAGGCATGGACCTGTTGGAATGAGTCCAGAGGAGGGCCACTAAGTTTTACAGGGCTGGAACACCTCTTCTATGAAGTCAGGCTGCGAGATCTGGGGTTGTTCAACCTGGAGAGGCTCCAGAGAGACCTTACAGCACCTTCTCACCACCTGAACAGGCCTACACGAAGAACAGAGATGGACTTTTTACAAGGGCATGCTGTAATAGAACAAGGGGGAATGACTTTAAGCTGAAGGAGGGTAGGTTTTGATTAGACATTAAGAAGAAATTCTTTGTGATGGTGGTGAGGCACTGGAATAGGGTTAATGGTTGCCCAGAGAAGTTATGGATGCCTCATCCCTAAAAGTGTTCAAGACCAGATTGGATGGGGCATTAACTAGGTCTACTGGAAGGTGTCCCTGTCCATGGAAGGGAAGTTGGAATGAGATGATCATTAAATGGATCTTTAAGGTCCCTTCAACCAAACCATTCTAGGATTATATGGTTCTATGATGAATTCTCAAATATTGGAGCCACCACCACAGCCCCAAGAGCACAACAAGGGCTACAGCCCATCTTTCCCACTGCAGCATGGCAGTGAAAAGCGTGTATCTCTGGGCCATGTCATTCTGCTCCAGTTCCTGCAGCAGTCGAGTCATCTCCTGTCTCAGCATTTCCTCATGCTGCCGCATGCGCTCACGTGTGGCCTCATCCAGCTCCCTATTGACCATCTGCGGGTACTGGATGATGATGTTTCGCACCACACCGAAGAACAGTCGGGCAGCCATGGCCTGAATAAGGAGGGAGAGAACGGGTCAGGTGGGTCTGGAAGGAGCAGAAAGCCAGTATGGGAGCTGCATGGAGCTGGGAGCAGGTAGGGGAAGGGGTGAGAATCCACATTTCTGTTCCAGCTCTCGCCCAGCCCAGCCTCCCCTCATGTGCTTACCTTGGCCCAGGCCCTGAAAACCAGCCTCACTGTGACCCGTCCCCTAGGATGTCATAGGGCCAAAGCCCATCGCAGACACTCCCAGCTCTACCCTGGCTCTGAGCTGACAGCTGTCCCTGGCAGCCTTGATAAGCCTCAAAGGACAGACCCACCTGGCAGGACAGGTAATAGGGGTAGGATACAAGGGTGGCTTCTTCATAATAGGTAAGAAGATGCTAGAAGTTCCCTCCGTGTCTGATAGAGCCAATGCCAGCCAGCTCCAAGAGAGACCCACCACTGGCCAAAGCCAAGCCCATCAGTGATGGTAGTAGCACCTCAGCATAACATATTTAAGAAGAGGGGAAGAAACTTGTGCAACACCAGCAGCTAGGAAACAGAAGTGAGAATATGGAAGAGAAACCCTGCATACCCTCAGGTCAGAGAAGAAAGAGGGGGAGGAGGAGGGGCTTCAGGCACCAGGGCAGAGATTCCCCTGCAGTCCGTAGCAAAGACTATGGTGAGTCAAGATGTGCCCCTGTAGCCCATGGAAGTCTGTGGTGGAACAGACACACACCTGCAGCCTGGGGATGTGCCTGAAGGAGGCTTTTGACTGTGCAGGAAGCCCATGGTGGAACAGGCAAGAGTGTAAAGAGTTCCCCACAACCCCTATTCCCCTCTTTTCTCTGCTCCATGTTTTTGAGACTCTTATATTCTCTACCTTTGAAAACATAAAACGCAAACTGAAATTAATTGGAACAATTTCCCTTGGTGAACTTTTCTGGGCTCTCCTTGGCTCATTTCTCCAGCCTGTTGAAGTCCTTCTTCATGGCAGCATGACCCACTGTAGTATCAGCCACTCCTCCACTTTTGTGTCATCAGCAACTAATTAGCTGGCTTTTGTAAAGGCACTAAAAGGTGTGATATAATTCATTAAACAAAACAAAACATACAAACAACCACCAAATTGGAATAATGTTTCACCATAAAAAAATAATTTAACATTTGCTAACATGGTTTCTTGTAGAACTTTGCTGTTAAATACAGTAACCACTCCATTTACAAAACTTTTAACTTCTCCAATTCAAGAATAAAATTTTGCTAGTAGTCTATGCTCAAAAAAAAAAGCCTGGCATGGAGGAAGAAGAGGCAACACCAAACAGAAAAACTGCTGGTTAACAAGATTTGAAAACACGTATAAAGACATATTCAAACACATACTAAGACATTAATAAGACAAAGAGCTCTTTGTAGGGGTGGGCAGCATGGGGGATGTTGTTCAAAGTCCATTTGCATTAGCAAGTTCCAAAGATTTCTTCTGGGATAAATTCGAGAGTTGGGCAATAACTAACAGCAGGGAGTTTAACAAGAACAAGTTCTCGATTCTACACCTAGGATGGAGTTACCCTGGGTGTACATACAGACTGGGAATGAGAGGCCAGAAAGCAATGCCACAGAAAGGGACCTAGGGATCCTGTTGACAGAAAGATGAACATGAGTCAGCAGCGCCCTGGTAGCCAGGAGGGCCAACTGTGTCTGGGGCTGCATCAGGTACAGCATCGCCAGCCGGGCAAGGGAGGGGATTGTCCCGCTCTGCTCTGCACTGGGGCTGCTTCACCTTGAGTACTGTTTTCCACGTGTTCCAGTGCAACACGCCAATAATTACACACTTGAGAGAGACATTGATTATTTATTTCAAAATTGCACAAGCCTGGGTGCCTGGTGGAATTCCACAAATCAAGCACACAAACTACCAAAATTTTTTATAATTTATATGTTTTAGCAAATAAAGGAATTAGTGTTCATTGGCTAATAGTTACATAGTTTTCTTATGAATTCATATTCTACTACTGGCTAACAATCCCTTGCTTCTTATGCTAAATAGTCCACATGCCCAATCTTTCTCCTTTTGGGTCAGTGATCTCTGAGTTGGAGGTTGCAGATCTCCCCCTGCTGGAATTACATTTCAGTCATTTGGAGCCGATTTCAGCTCAATTGTTGAGTCGGCTTATATTAGTTTTTCCCTTATCTTGAGGGTTCTACCAGATGTCTTTGTAGGTTATAAATTCTGCATTCTTTGTGTCCAGTATCAGTCGGCATTCTTTTTCCCAAGCTTTGTTAACCTCCCCCTCGGTCTCAGATCATTGAAGCATGTCAAGCCCTAAACTTTTACAAGGTAATTCTACAAACAAGTAATTTGCTCTTTTAGATATCATAGAGATCACTTAGAGTTTGCTTGTTAGCTGCCATTTCACAAGTTAAACCTCCCTAGTTGATTGGACTTGAAAGTACACAAAGATCAAACACGAAAGAACATCCTTAATTTTTTTTTTACATAATCCGCATTTTACAGCAATCCTGTGTGCAGTTTTGGGCACTACAATATAAAAATGGCATTAAGCTATTATAGAGGGTCCAAAGGAGGGCAGGGACGATAGTGAAGGGACTGGAGAGGAAGCTGTATGAGGAGTGCCTGAGGTCACCTTTTCATCTTGGAGGACACTGAGGAGAGACCTCGTTGCAGTTCACAATTTCCTCATGAGAGAAAGGGCAAAGTCACGCACTGATCTCTTCTCTACAGCGTCCAGTGACAGGACTGGAGGGAACGGCCTGAAGTGGTGTCAGAAGAGGTTTAGGCTGGCTTTTAGGAAAAGGCTTTCCAACCAGAAGGTGGTTAGGCACTGGAACGAGCTCTCCCCGGAAGTGGTCACAACACTAAGCCTAACGAGAGTTGGAGACGCATTGGAACAATGGACTCAGGCACATGGTGTAACTTTTGAGGTGCTTCGTGCAAGAGCTGGACCCGATGACCCTCGCGGGCCCGTTCCGACTCGGGACATTACCTCCCAGTCTCAACACGGCCACCAACGCTTCAGCCGCGTGGGGATCTTTGCTGCGCGTGCGCAAGATAAACCCCCGCCCCTTATCTCTTTCCTCGCCGCTGATTGGTCTGAGGGGCGCGCGCCGCAGCCGGTAGCGGGAGCGCCCCGCCCCTCGGCTGTAGGCGTGAGGTTGCCGTGGCAACGACGGGCAGGCAGCGCGCGCGGGTAGGGAGCTGAGGGGAGAGCGGGGCCGGGCCGGGGGCGCTTCCTCCCGGGAGGGCGCCTGGAGCGGATCCCGGCCCGTGCCCGCCATCAGAGCCGCCTTCCCACCGGCCGTGCTGGGAGGCGGTTGGTGGCGGGGCCACGGGACGGGAGGCCGGTGTAAAATCGCACGGCTGTGTAGGTAGGAAGGAGCTGGGGGATCGAGGGAGGGAGATCTGCCCGGCTTTCCCTCGTTTATTCTGCTGGGTTTGGAAGAAGATCTGAGAAGGGGCTCTGAAGGGTGTTTTTGTATAAAAAGCGAGAAACTCACTGTAGGAGAGAGAATAGGCAACCCACAATGTCCTTTCAGCTCTCCTTCACACCCACCTTCTAAAATAAAAGTTAAAATCAAATCCCGTATGAATAAAGGAGAGCTACTGAGCTTCAGATTTATTTACTAAGAAAGGAAGTTTCTTCTGCCTTCACAGCCTCGATCTTGGCTTTTCTTCAGTTTGTCTTAATTGTAATTCTGGCAAGGAGAATTCTCTGTGCGAGGTTTAGCGCTGGGATGTTTTTTGCTGTCTCCTCGGTTGTTCTGATACACTAATGTAGGGCTTTTGTGTATAAGCTATAATACATAATATACATTGGTATATGTACTGGCTAAATAGATGGCCTTTCTATTCTGAGTCATTAAGTTATATCTGTTAGGGTATCTTTATACCCAGATTGTTTATGTGTCCCATTCAGTATTAGCCGCTTGCCTTCTTCCCTCCCCGATTCAGTCATTTATAAGCTCATTTATATAAGCCAGAGTTTGGGGAAAAAAAGTTGGTATTGTTGTGAGAGCCTCTATAATGTGCCTTAGTGTGAAAAACTCAGTTTTTGACTGTGCAGAACATGCACTTGTGTGCATGACAAAAGTGCCATGCAGATATATAATGAATCCTGTGGCTTAGTACCACCTCTCACAGCCTGTAAAACCTGTTATGGAGTGTCCTGTATTTTCTAATTTATATTCAGATTATGAGCTTCCATTAACTAGCTACTATGTGTGAGAATTATGCCTGCTGTGAAGCGTTGAGCTCATATTTCTGGATGGAAAAGGCAAAAACTAGAATATAATATTCTTAAGCAAACCAAATCAACACATCAAATAGAAAAATTATTTTAAATGTTTATTAATACATCAAAAACTTGATAAAATGTCAGTAGTAAAAAGGGATAGGTTTTTATAAGCAACATAGTATCACTGTAAATGAAAAGGACATTGGTGAGGATATGTCAGATTTGAAGTACACATGTAAGCTTTGTTGAAGATCTGGGCTACAAGTAGTATAACATTTTCCTTTTTTTTTAAGGCATTCTATCATACTACTTAGAAGAGCACGTGGAATAAAAGATTATTAAAAGAAGCAGTAGAGCATCTTGACCTATTACAGAACCATGGTTCGGCTAACAATGGACCTAATTGCTAAAAATGCTGGTCACAAGAATCGTAGTGAAGAAGACTTTGAACAATATCTGCAAAAAATAACTCATCTGAATTTGTCAGATAAAAATATAGATTCAATTGTAAGATTTATTTTTTATTATTCCTTTTAAACTGGCTACTCTAATGGAGTTACTGTTATGATGAGTTGTTCATTGTTGGAGAGACAAACAAGGAAAGCCACGTTTTACAGATTTGTTAACTTACAGCACAATCTTTTCAATCTATCTGTGATTTATTCCTTAAATTTCAGAGGAAGTCTGAGAAAGGAAAGGAGAGGTCAGGAACAGGAAATAACCCGAGTGAGCTTAACAAATTTGGACTAGTGTAGTTGCTTTTTCAAACTAGCCAGGTTTAAAATATACTTTTTTTTTTTTTTTAATTACTCCCTGGGGCCTGCTCATTTAAAAAATAATCCATGAGCTTTTCATTTTCAAAGACTAAACCTGCAAACTTGGCCCAGTCCTCCTTCCTCTGAGTTTAATAATAGGAAATGTATACAGGTTTCAATAAGTTTTCAGTTAATTCAGATCCCCTCAAGATACTGAGTAAATTTTGAAACAGCTGAGCCATGAACAACTGCACTGTTGAATGTGATGAATTTCTGCTCTAAAAGCATGATTTCAGTCAAGAAGAAATCACTTGTTCTGTGTGAACAGATCCCTGCAAGCAAATGGGTTTATTCAGCCCACTCCTAGCAATGTGCACCGCCATAGTGAGTTACTAATTGTCCATTTGATGAGCTCTGGTTCATCAGCTGTCACAGCAAAATTTTACAGAAACCTTCATGAGGAGTGCTCTTTTAGTTGTTTCACAGGAATATGTTCAAAAACATCAACATAAACTTGAGCTCAGAAATATATTAAAATAGATTGAATTGCAAGGTTTTGTGTAAACCAGTAATTCTTTGCCAAGAACTGGTCTCCAGTTACATCAGTGCAGTTTAAGGGATACAACTACACTAAAAACTTTGCTTTTCTGAAATCCACCTGATGAAGACAGGGAAGGGAATGAAGTCACACTGGATGTCGTGTATTTGCTGGTGATGCCTGTTGTCCTCAGATTCTGTATGGCAAAATAGTAACAACAGATTTCAGTCTTTATTCTGTAGGTAACTGACAATGTATAATAACTCTGTTTTTCTACGAAAAATAGTTTTAAGCAATGTTTATTAAAGGTGAAAATTTATAAATCATGCATCAGAACATAAATACAAAATAAATAACAATAATAACAATAAATAACAATCAATAGCTTCCAGAAGCAGGCAGTGAGTGAACATTAAGTAGCATGTCATTGTTTATTTCAGGATGACCTCTCTTTCTGTAAAAATCTGAGAGTTCTATATTTATATGATAACCAAATCAACCAAATCCAGAACTTGGACTTTGCTTCAAATATAACGCACCTTTACCTTCAGAACAATCGTATTTCAAGTATAGAAAATCTCTCATTGCTGAAAAAACTTGAAAAACTGTAAGTTGAAAATAATGTTTTTATTTAACTAGTCAAAAGTATAGTAATGACACTTAAGAATTTTTTTGAATTATGTAGCCATTAAGGTTCTTTCAGCTCTTAAATTTTGCTTTTCAAATAGAAGTAATTGCTTATTATTTTTTGATGAGATGATCTGTAATAAATGTAATGACGTATCATCTTAACATATATATTTGCATTTAAATAATTTTATTTTTTCAGTCTTGTAGTTGTAGTAGTAGTAATAATAATAATAATAATAATAGCAGTAGATAAAACAGCAAAAACCTACTTGAGTCAGTTAAGTGTGAATTCTACTTATGTGCTAGGTTATTTACTTTTCCTATCATAATTTACAAGTATTCTTCAATAATGCTTGAAATTTTTTTTTCTTTATATATTGAAGCCTTGCCTTTGCTCTTACTTTCAAAGGATATTAAATCTGTTTTGTGTTCTATAGGTATTTAGGAGGCAACTATATCACTATAGTGGAGGGTTTGGATAAAATAGGAGAACTAAGGGAGCTACATATTGAAAGTCAACATCTCCCTCTTGGTGAAAAGCTTCTGTTTGATCCAGTATCTCTTAACTCCCTGGCAGTAAGTACATTTTGAGAATTTCAACGAGCCAATAATCAGGAGATAAGTATTTTAGGAGAAATTATTAGAAGTCGATCACTCTGTGTTTTCCTCTTTTGCAAATTGGTGTCATTATTTCAAGCTCTACCAAGGGACACCCTAATTCTCTTATAAGGAGTCCAGCAAATTCTACTTTATCATTTTTTCATTATGAAGGATGAAAATGAGGATAAAGAAAGAGAAGAATTAACGAAGTGTGTGCATGCCCTATACCAACAGAATATGAATAAACTAAAAAAAGGGGTTGGAATGTATCACTCTTAGTTTTCTTAGTCTGTTTCATTTGTACTGAATTAGTTTGTTGATATTTCAGTGATTTGATTGGTATACTTGTTTATTTATTGCCTTTTGTATTTCTGTCAAAAAATGGAGTGGAAAAAAAATGCACAAACAGCTTTTTTTCCCTGGATATTAAGAACAACATAATCAAAAACATATTGTTTTAGTTCTGCGGTTCTTCTGTGTGGTGTTATGTCAAAAGTTCAGGAAATCTTTTTGAAGTTGTCTTTCAACATGTTAATTGCTCAGAAAACATAAAACATATAGTTGAAGAGGTTAAAATGCAGGCTTTATTTGCTAATGGATGTAGTTCTGTACTATAAAAATTCCTCTTGCTGTATCTCTCATGGCATAGTCAGGGCTTGATGAGTCTTTTTTTTGAGAAGATGAAAACCTCACTAAAAAGTGGGTTCTTTTGTTCACATTTATGTCATAAATATTTGACCTAGCTCTATTTTTTCCTGTTTTGAGATTATATAATCCAAGACATGTATTACTGTTTCTCTTTAATAGAAATGTGTCATTATTGTGAGAGCATTTGTACTTTTCTCCTTCTATATTGGAGAAATTATCAAAGTAAATGGAAGTTTTATAGCTATAATCTTCTCAGGATAATAACATTTAATAAACTCTTCCATGTTTTTCAGCAGCCTGGTCTAGATTTTGGGGTTTGTGGCTTTTATTTAAGGTCTTTTGATGTGGGGTTTGTTTTCTTTTCTATGAAACAGCTTTGCATTCTTGACAATGTAACATCTTTGTGGAGGCTAAATGTAAAAATCCTGTATTTTTTCCTTCAAGTGCTAAGTATTTGGAGCCTTTTTAAGGCATGGCTTTTTACTTCTTCATCTGTTTCTATCTTTTAATGGTATCAGAGATAAAAAAGCATGAGGTCATATAGCTCTGTGTGTACCACAGGCAAATGTTTTGATGATGACAATGTTATGAATCTGACTGAGAAGATTAAGTTTATGAACTGTGTTTATCACGATGATACTGGTAATTTCCATCTGCAATGTAAATATTGGTCAAATTTTTGAAAGGGGTTAGTTCTCCTGTATAAACTGCTGAAATAGAGATTTTCCAACTAATAGTAAATATTATACTTTGTATAATTCTAAACTCACTGGATTAGGAGTCCCTTTTCATTTTCTAGAGATAAAAACATTTTCCTTTTATTTGAAACTGCATTAGTATTTCCCAAGATAAACACCTGAAACACGTTTAGATTTTTATCTAAAATATAAAGATCTCTGTAACTACTGTCTGTTACAAATGGCAAAGTGCAATATGTGACTCAGTACTGTTCCAGAGAAGGGGTAAGGATCAGAGGTATGGATACCAAGAGGTTTGTGGCATCAAGCCTGAAAGAAAAGTAGTGTAGTCCAGCTGTTAAATGAAACTATGCAGGTAGCACATATGGGCTTCAGCTCTGCAGTTCAGGTGCAATCTTGGGGTCCACAGTATAAGAAGAAAACAGACCTGCTGCAGCTAGTCCAGAGAGGGCCACAGAGAGTATCAGAGGGCTGGAGCACCTCTCCTATGAAGACAGGCTGAGAGAGTTGGGGTTGTTGAGCCTGGAGGAGAGAAGGTTCCAAGGACACCTTGTATCAGCAGTCCAGTACCTAAAGGGGGATTATAAGAAAGCTGGAGAGGCACTTTTTACAAGGCTGTGTTGTGATAGGACACAGGTAATGGCCTGAAACTCATCAAGGGCAGCTTTAGATTAGCTTTTAGGGGGAAATTCTCTGCTTGTGAGAGTGGTGAGACACTGGAACAGATTGCCCAGAAGAGCTGTGGATGCTCTATCCATGGAAGTGTTGAAGGCCAGGTTGGATGGATCTCTGAAAAGCCTGGTTTAGTAGAAGGTGTCCCTGCTCATGGCAGGGGGCTGGAACTAGATGATCTTTAAGGCCCCTTTCAATCCAAACCATTCTGTGATTCTATAAAAAGGCAGTCAGTTTCTATGTATGTTTCATACTTCAAAAGTAGAGTTGTAGCACTTGCAGAATTCTATAAAGAATTTGAATGTATTAAAAAAAAAAAAAACCCAACAAAAATTCTGTATTTACTAAGAATTTCTGAAATAAACAAGAAAAAATCTTGCTTTGGTTTCACTTCTAAACCAGAATAAATTACATTTTAGGACGAGGTGCAACGGCAGCATAAAACAATCTGTATGGTATGTGGAAGTGGTGTTTTCATGTTTCTTCTTCATATGTTTGTTCATCTTTTCAGATAATTTTCTGTAATAATTTACAGCTTGACTCATGCATGGCATGAAAAAAATACTTATTTTTCTGCTTTTCTTCCTTCAGAAATCTTTGTCTGTACTGAATATCAGCAATAACAACATTGATGAATTAGAAGAACTGGCAGTTTTGGAAAATCTTTCTTACCTTAAAGCTGTCGACAATCGACTTAAACATATGAAGGTATTAAAGTAAATGTTTGTTTTATTAAGTATGGGTGTTAAGAAATTAGTCACATTCATCTTTATTACTAAATATATAAGTAAAAATAAATTTTATTTCTGCTGTTACTGAATCTGGCTTGTCAAGCATGCTGTCTTTTCTCATATAAAAATCTTACTGAGACTGAAAATGGAGAAGCATTTACCCAGGATGTCAAAATTTATATTTTTGTTAATTAATACTGTAATGAATTGGTTTAAACAGTAACCCAAATCACCAAGATAGTCTTGATTGAAAGAAAATCTTTAATTTGTGGTTTGCATAAACATTTTATTTCCTTAGTAAACTTAACTTTCATTTGTTATTATTAATTAGTAATTATTAAAATAACTATTCTTATTACTTGTTATTATTAATTAGTAATTATTAAAATAACTATTCTTATTACTTCTGAGAACACAACTTATTTTTAACAGATTGTTGAGAGAATTTGCCAATTCTCTTTACTAGTGAGGAGATTGCAGTATTTTGTGTGCATAACCTGTCAGTTATCTAGATGAATTTACTCTACTTGGACTCTTCATTTTTTTACACTTTATTATTAAAAAATGTTGAATAATGCCCTTCTTTTTTACTACAGAACTATTAATGCTTTGTATTTCAAGTCCTGGCTGGCAGCTGTGATTGAATTTACATCAAAATACAGTTCATGTAGGCTTTTGCTGAATAATTAAAATCACATTGAATATGTTGGTTACATCAAAATAGCAAAAAGCTTTTTTCAAATAGGAATCTCACCGAAGCTTCCCTTTATAAATGAATCAATTTCTAAATAAAATATATTACAGAGATTTTTACACTGACTCTTTCTTTCTTTTAAATAAAATATACTTCTGTTGTGATGATCTTAAAAGAAAATTGTCATAGCCAAAGAACCAATTAGTTTTAAGAATGAGGATGCCAATTCAGAGGCAGCGTTTTCAGCATCTCAGAGGAAAATCCATTATTCTCTGAAGCACAATAAGGAGAGGACAAAATGACTGCATTATTCAGTAACTGTGTACATATTATTTATTATTTATTAACTTTTATTACTTAATCATCAGAAAAAACAGAATTATATTTACCCAAATCAGTTAGACTTGTAGATTTCTATGTTACATGATCACAACTGTTGAAAAATTATAAAATTAGCATTTGAGCTTGCTATCCATTACACTTGGATTAAGCTCCAGTATATTTTGAAAGTGACTGTTCTGTGTGTTTTCTAAACAATCTCCAAATTTTGAAATATATGGAACTGGGAAGGAGTTTCTATTCATATTTTTGCAGACCTGTAAAATTAATGGACATATCAAATGTGTTTAATATACAGTGTAATGCAGGTGGATATGCAACTTTCCAACTACAATTACTGAGTTTTAAGGGATTACATTTTGGTAGGCTCTACTTATCACTAACCTAAATTCTTAAATAGAAGCTGTAAGCTATGAAAAGTATTTTTTAAAAAGTCAGTTTTAGCTCTGTGTAAGAGGCTTTAGCTCACAGTGGACATCTTGCAGGAGAACAATCTTATACAGCCACTGACTGTTCAAAAAAGTAGCTGAGGAAAGTTTTGAATATATTTTCATTTTTTTTTGCATCCCTGAATTTCATGATTGCACGGCATACATTGTTCTACAACTGTAAAAGCTGCAAGGATGTTAGGGGCATACAATTCTATACACTTAATTGGTTCTGGTGGCTGAACTTTTTACATACAGCAAATGCTCTTTCATTCCCACATGAGCTGCATCCATTCTCCTCTCTCTTGCCCCTTATGTTATCAAAACTCTGATGTATACCTCTTTTTCATGCCAAAAGCACTATGTGACCTGTTTTTCTATTCTTGCTTTCCCATCACTGCCATCAAGAACTTCTCCAGGAATGTCTGGCATTGATCAGAGATTGTGGCAGTGCTGCATGACAGGGAAGTGTTGGAGACTTCTGTACCCAGTTGTGCTTCACCTAGTGGGAAGAGAAGCTGTAGGGGAGCTACCTGTGTCTGAGCAGCTCTGGTGAACTGCAGGAATAACATGGAATCTTTGTGAAAGAGGAAAATATGAATGGCATAAGAAATGCATTAAATACAATATTATATAGATTTTTCTCACTTTGGTGTATTTAGTATAATTATATTTAAGCATTTCTCTCAGTTTTTTCACTTTATTTTGAAAACCCATATGTCTTCGCTTTTCAACTATGCCACTTTGATTTCAGCATAGTTGAAAACTAGGACTAATTAATTCAAGCACTTAAGGTCGTGGCTAATACAGGGCTTTGTTAGCATAATTAACAGACATCAAGGCATATGACCTTGTTTCAATTGACTGAAGTTTATATAGTTCAGTCTGAACAGTAGACAGAAGAAAATTAAGCAACTTTTCTGAATTTGTGCAAAATAACTATGACTAGCTACCACATGCGAAAGGTATGTCTTAGGTCAGTTATCAAGAATATAATTGATTTTAATAGAATTGGCTTCTCTTTGTTTTCTATTGCTTGCTACTTCATTTATTCATTGTATTGAGATTCTGGTTTGCTTTAGTCAGGATCACAAGGTCTTCTAGGCTGCAGTGTATTTGGGTTGGAATTTAGAAAATTTGTTAAAACACTATGTCAATTAAAAAAAACCCCACAATTATTCCTTTTTACAAAAAGACAGAATATAATTTATTTATTAAGTTTATTAGTTTTGGAAAGATTGTGAATTATGTGAGTATTTGGATAGAAAGACAAAATATAGTTAGAAATACCTGGAAAAATCTTTATTTCCCAAGTCTTTAATTTATTCAACCTCTGCCCAGTATTGATTATGACAAGAGGATATCACAAAAGATGAATTCATTCACTTTAGAATTGAGTCAGGAACAAGAGAAAAATTATAGATTTTCTCAAATAGATTATGACAGGTAATCAAACTGGTGACAAATTGCTGTCTGTAGATGTAGCTGGGGCAGTTGGATTAGACGTTTCCAATAAAAACTGGAACATACTGTTCAAATACCAATTCTTAAATGGCCACCGTTAATTGGTAAGAAAGTTATTGCCAGCACTACAGCTGCCGACTCAGGCACTTGCCCTTCCCCCTCCCCACCCTCCCCAATGGAATATAATTTGCTCGTCAGTATTTTGTAGCAGACCTCAAAGTGATAGCATGACATGATCATTTATCAAACGGAGCCTGCCCAGAAGAGTGTCTGGTCCCTTTAGTACAGCTTATTGAAAGGCTGGGAAGTGAAAGCACTTTATTAGAGACAGGAAGGCAATGAACAACTAGAGCGTATCGAAAGGGTAATCATATTTCAGCACAGGATTAGTGTGCTCTTAGATAAACATACACTGGAGTAAGCATGTTCTGGGTCATTTATCAAGTAAGTAACAGCTAACAAAAATCTACAGGACACGGTATACATTCATCAAAGTTAAACTGTATACATTTAATTTCAGTAATAGACAACTTTGTGTTGCCAAACTGTTACTTAGAAAGATTCTTTCTAATGAAATCTAGAACACATTACAAACTTCAATGATAGTGTCTGAATGCTTAGGTAAAGATAAATAAATATACTTGCTAAATTATTTTTCTTTTTTAGTAAGTCTAGCCTAAAATATTTTGCCCCTAAATTTTTTTTTGTGATGAAGTGTTAGCACCTAAACTATGGGGGTTATCACGTTGCTATCCTGATACATGCTAATTAAGCTTTGCTGAATAATATTATGAGAGAATTATTAACATTTCTTCCTGTGGACTAATCCTCAGAGTTTCTAGCATTGTTTAATGAGTCTTGATCCTCACAGAACCAGACTTTTGCTGTCTAGTTTTCTAAAATATACATTTTTATCACTGAAAAACAACAGATTATGTCACTATTATTATAGATATGGACACCATCATTATAGATTATAGACCAAAAATTATATGGTTTGGAGGTATGAGGCTGTGCTGCCACTTTCTTTTCCATGTGATTTTTCTAAACATGTATTATATAACCCATAGAGTATTTCCAAGAGGATTTTCTACCAAGAAAGATGAGACAGCAAAAGCAGAATTCTCCCTGCTTATGCTACCCAAGCAATTTTCTAAATTTGAAGGAGCTAAGAGATATCTACATTGCTAGAGACTTCATTATTGGCATCAAACTACAAAGTTTTACACACTCTATGGGTTAGAATCCATCAAACATGATTAGTAGATTTTTCCAAATTATTACAACAGTTGAACATAAATCCTCTCTCCTATTTATACCTATTGTCTTAAATCACTCCTTAAGGTTTTCACACATAGAAGGAAAGCCTGTCAAGAATGGGAGTTAAATGAGATTTTGGAAAGAAGGTGTTTCAGTGTTTCAGAAAGTAAGGTGTCTGAGTAGAAAGGACCAATCTGCTAAACACTGCATGTTTTTAACTTGAATTTATTGTATTTAAAAGACAAAGTAGTTTCATCTGGGTCATACTGCCCCTGGGTAACCAGACAGAAACACAGATGGAGAAAGGTATATTTCACTAATTTCACTGTGTAGGCCAATACTGTAACTGACCACCCACAGTTAGGTAGGGAAGGATTACTGTTTCTCCTGTAAAATACAGTTCTACATATATATATAAAGAGAGAGGCAGTGCACTGTGGATTGCATGATTTTTAGCTTTTCTTTTTTTTTAAGCTGTTCTTTATCTGTATAAATTACTTATTCTTCCACAGGCTGATACTCAAAGAGCTCTGTAAGACCTTGGAGATGCATTAACAGACATTGCATATTATACAAATTTTTTCATTGGTAGTTGCTAGGCTTTGGGTGCTTATCAGAGGGATTGAAATGGTGATATTCCCATAGGTGGCATTACTGTATCCTTAAAAATGCAGCATCTTCCAACATCACTGTTTCTTCTGTACAATTTTAATATATTCAGGGAATGCTGTGGCCCACTCTGTTTGAAAATGCACATTCTTAATGTGCATATTAATACATGTGAATAGTCCCATTGAAGTTATTTCTGTGTGCAGGATTTGGGCCTGGCTGAACAAATCACATTACTGCTGAATTTCACTCTGGAGGGGGAAACATAATCACAATGTTCTGTTGTTGTTTCAATTGCAGGATTTGGAGGTTGCATTAAAAAAATGGACAAAGCTACGCAGAATGGATCTTACAGGAAACCCCATCTGTCAAAAACCGAAGTACAAGGATAGGATTATAGTAGAGTCACCAACTTTAGGTAATAAATTAGATCAATACCCCACCCATAACCCCCACTTTTTAGGAAACAACTGAAAAATTAATTATTGTTGAGTAGCACTAACAGTTACTAATATCTACTAATATCTTACTAATATCTAAACAGTTACTGCTATAGATATTTGTGTCAAATCATGAATTCTTAATTTATGTAGAAAGCTAAAACTGCTTATGTAATTAGCTTCACAAGCCATCTTGTTTAGCTTTTGTCATTAGTAGTTGTAATAATTTGTTTTATAATAGGTGATTGGTGAGATTGTGACAAGAGAATTTTTTGTGTTCATATTCCAGATGTGAAAATTATTTTCATAGATCAGTTTCATATATTCCCTATCAATCTGTATCAGTTGCTAAAGTATTTTCATTGGACAGTTCTGGTTATACAGATCCCACCTTACTGTGTTTGAATTTGTCATATAACATTCATCCTTAAACTTAAAAGCAATTCACACATATGTTGTGATTGCATTTGTGAATCTTAGCCCTTATGGTTAGGATTTATATTAGAGTTTAATTATATATATATGTTTAGTTATATATATATAATATAGAGTTTTTATTAGAGTTAAGATTTATATTAAAGTTTATATTATTATTATTTTGCATAGCATGAAAGGCAGAAACTGATTCTTCTATAGCTAATTATTTATACGGTAGAAATAAGTAAAAAAAAATCTGCTAATTTTTTACTTTTTTTTGGATAAAGGGGGCAATTATTTTTAAAGTTATAATTATGAAACTTGTTTTTCCTTAGAGCACAAAATACTGGCCTTTAAGAAAAAGCAAAAGCCTGTCTGTATAATAAAAATAATAGTGCCTTAGGACAGTTCTAATGCAACCTAAATTTGTGGCCACATTATGTATTTCATTTAGGCTGACTCAAAAATGCAGATGCAGCCAATGAATCATAGAGCATAAGGCTTATGGCACCTAAGTGAGTAAAGTTAACCTTAGAGAGGCAAATCTGTGTGACTGTCTTCATCATCAGTAGAATTCCTTGATTGCTAAGACATGCAGTTTCCCTCTCAACCTGGATTTCTGCATCTATCTATACCCTGTGTAAGAGCATAACTTTTCTGCAGAACTTTATAAAAAGTCTTGCATGTTAAACAAATGTGAAATATATGTATTTCCCTTGAAAGTTATAAAAACTGCAGATTTTTTTTTTTGTAATTAAGACGTTAACTCACTCTTGCAGCTTGAATATGAATATCAATCTTTATTGGGTATTTTTTCCTTTACAAAAATACTAGAAAAAGAAAGAGATACTTGAAGAGAATTAATATAGAGCCAATACACATTACATACAACTTTGCACAGCCCCTTAGTTCACTTGCTATCACAGAAAATGTTCTCTTTTGCAGAATCCCTCGACGGGAAAGAAATTCAAGAAATGGAAAGACGTTTCTTAATAAATTGGAAAGCCTCCAGAGCTGCCAGGAAAAAAAACAATGAAAGAATGACAGATGAACATGCAGCCTATGTACAATTTTGTAGGCAAACTAATCAATTACTTCATGCTTATTTAAAACTTACAGAAATCATAAAATTACAGCTAAAAATAAATATACTTAGAATTGTTTATAAGACATTTGTACCAGTGATGGGTCCAAAAGACATGAGTAGAAATTGAGTTTTTCCAATACAAAATTTAATTTTAGCACTAGTTCATGTATTGGTTTTTTTTCCTCACATCTCAGTCTCCCAGAATTATGGAAAGGGGTAGCTAGTACATTTTGAGTGTGTAAATATTCACACTTACTTCCATATTTTAAAAATGTTGTGCATTCTAGGATAAATATGCATGAAATATATCAGACTTTTAAAATCTATTTTTTGATACTAATTTTATCTCTGTATATTGTCAGTTCCTTTAAAGGCCTTTGAAAGATACATGTCTAGCAGATGTCCAAGTTTTAAACTTGGAAAGGAAAAAAAATGTCTGGGAGATAAAAAAGCCTTTAACCCTTTTTGAGGTTTAAAGGCAACCCGTTCTTCAAGTGGGAAAACAGATAAGTTTTGAAACTCAAGCAAAACCTGAAATAAACTCTGAGGCTTTTTAAAATTATGGGGAGGTGGTGGTTGTTACAGAGTTGACTGAAGGTGAAAACATAAATGACTTAAAAGCATGTCTTTCCATGTTGCAGGACTTGGATACGGACATTTAACTTGAAATTATTCAAAATTGTTTGAATTACCATATTTATAAAATAAAATTGTTGGCACTTACACTGTTGCTTTCAGAAAATAAATTAAAATATTATTTTTGAAGACATGAGGGCTGGTGCTCTGCCTGCCAGCACCAGCCCTAAAATAGTTGGAGTCTGCTCATTGCTTGGAAGCTATATGTAAATGGCAATGGTTTGGAAATGGTCTTCTGAATAACTTCTGCTATAAGGAGGTGCTATGTAATTGGATTTACTCCCTTTCAAATAACTGCCTGAATGGGAATACCTGTTTTAATATTCACTTTCATCAGTGTTAGCTGCACCTTCCATAATTCCATTCAAACTTTTCTTTTCTCAATTATCAAATTTGAGTATTTTACCTAAAGATTCATTACCCTGTTTTCTCTAACAAGAGATATTGGAACTTATGATCAATCACACAGATTTTTTAGATTTGGCTCACAAGCAGAAAGTTGAAAGAAAACCTGCGCCAAGAATCCGTGAAAGAAGAAGTCAGATGAAAACTCAGGTGTGTTTCTCAAATGTCTTCCTTCTAGTTATGTTGGTTGTTGCTTGTACAGCTCTTGCTGAATCAATTGGAAAATGAGTACAGGATGATAGAATTTAATCGGAAATATTTTTTTTAACCATGTTATATTTATTGTCTTTATTTCTTTGAAAGACAAGATAATAGATTTCAGTTTTTGGTTACAAATCAGTGAGCAAGCTAATAGTAGTAAATTTAATGTTACTAGTTTATGTCATATGAAGTTAATTCTCTGAAGTAAGTTAAGGTGTGAAGACCATTGGTGAAGTGTGATGCTGTGGACGGAATCAACTGGATAATGAGAAACAATCGGTTTTCATCATTACAGCTTACTTCTAACAGCCATGCTCCAGTTTCACCTGTGGCAATAGTATAGTTAGATATTTGGGACCTAATATCACTCCTTCCAGATTTTTAATGCTATTTTTAACCTAACAGTTTTATTATTTATCAGCTGAACGAGCCAACAACAAAAAAAATCATCATTTATACAATGCTGTAGATTAAATAAATACACACAACTGACATGGGTATTCTTTTGTAATTAAATTAGTAAATGTAGTGTTCTATTTTACATTCAAGTTAGAATTTATTAGTATGTTTGACAATTTAACTGAGCAACATTTAATGCTATTTTATTCTTGACAACTTACCACTTTTCATTCCATGAGTTTTGTTTCTTTTGATTATTTGTTCTGATTAAAAATAGCTGCCTTTTCATTGAGAAGGGAAGAATTGCAAATCACAAGGGTGCTCTCTTTCAAATAATTATTTTAGTTCATCACATGACAATGGATATATTCTGGCCTAAAAAAGAAACTGAATTTGACATATATGTGCCCGTTATTGTACTTTTTTCTTTCTCAGAAAACACAAAACAGTGGAGCAGTTAAGAACTACAGGAACAATGTACTTATTATTATAAAAAGTAATACTGCTAGTACCTAGTGTAGTAGTATACTGTTATTTTCCAGTGAATAGTACAGGCTTCTGAAATTTAGAGAGACACAGATTAATACTCATGCCATATAAATACGTTTGGGGTTTTTTTAAATTCTATTGTAAGATGGGTTTGTCCACATGCTCAGTATTATGTCAGCATGCATGATGCATGTCATTTCTGTTAGCATCCTGTCTTTAGGGCCAGGCTGAGTAAAACTGCTTTCCATTTCGTATTCCCCTTAGTCCTAAAATAGGATGGAGCATGCGTGTACAACATCTTTTCTCCTGTAAAACCTTCTGCTATTCCCTTTGAGACAAAGCATTCTGATTCTGTTTTACAGTGGTAAAAAGCTGTCCAATTGTTGAGCTTCTTTGCTTGGCAAATATTTTCTCCCTGTTAAAAATCTGGACTACAATCACAGCTCTGTTGAAATCCCTTTTGACCCTAGAAAGGTAAAGAGAATATCTTCCATACTTGATTGAAATAAAATGGCTATATTTTTATCAATTTACATTTGTAAATTAAATAATTTAAGTGATTTTTTTTTTGCTGTTAGTCTAGAAGATTTTTGTCTGATTTCACAGGAAAGGTTAGAAGAAACTGCAGTCAGATGACATGCATTTAATATTTTCTAAAAGCTTGTAAGTGGGACTTTTATCTTAGATGCTGAAGGTTCAGTATTGTAAGGTTACCTTACAATTTCATGAGTAATCACTGATCCTGAGATGTATTCTAATCTTTCTAGTAGAGGAATTCCATAGAAACCAAAGAGTCTTGGGAGTTAAAGGTTTGTGAATTCTTTAGAACTTCTATAGGAAAAAAACCCCAGAACCTCAAAAAATAGAAATACTCATTCTCAGATCTTATGTAGATACGAAAAAATGGCAAATCATAGTATTCCCTTGCCAGATCCACTAATTAGGGATATATATGAGTGTGCCCACAAGTAAAGGAAGGAAATTTTTTCAAACTGAACAAATACCTGTATTGTTTAATTGAAATTCAGTATTGGACCAAAGAAATTAGTGGGTTTTAATCCTAACCTCTGTGTTAGTCAAATAAATTATTCCAACAGATGTTTCCTCTTTCCCTATACATATTAGGTGATGTTTGACCTTGGCAACTGAAAAACAGGCATTAAATACCTTTTTAACCTACATCTGAGATCCACTGAGGATTGCATGCAGCTTGAACAATGAAAAAAGCCACTTATTACTAGATTACTGAAATATGTCATTAATCTTTCCTTTTTGATGATGTAAAAACAATAGCAATTTTATATTGAATTTTAAGTTAGTTTTGGACATTCAGAGAAAAGTATGGATATTGGCAGGAAGTAATTAAAAGAAACCAAATCACTTAACTATTTTAAAGATACCTAATACCTTCCAATGGGATACACCATTATTAATGCTCCCTGAGTAGAGAAGTTGTTGAAATTTTGATGTTGTAAACTTAATCTGTAACCAGCAGTTTCTGCTCACATTGCCTTACTCATGGAATTGAATATTTTGGTAGGTATTTGTAGCAGTTCAGAATGTGGTGGGAAAGTCACCTTTTGTTTCTCCATTGTATGTTACGTGATTAGCAATGTGGAAATATCTTTAAATTATACAATCAGCATGTAATAAATACTCTGGATTGTGCCAGCTAATCATGAGCCACTTTTCTGCCACATGCACAGCATGAATATTTCAAATTCTAGTCCAAAAGGAAGGAACTTGTAGTGAATGTTAGTTTTTCCTCTTAGGCAGATGCTTAATGAACATTGTGTTTAGTTAGTTAAATATTTATAAATGCCTTCTGTTGTGGTGATTTGTGTGGTCTGAAATCTACACAGGATAATGTATATTGGGTAACAGGTAGGAATGTGTCTGTTCTGCATGTATACTGGGCTTTTGTTTATATGAATCTAACTAGCATTATAATAAATAGAATTATTAAGGCATATTATATGAAAGGTTTTTGGGGAGAAATGATACTGAGACTGTAATGATATATACCCAAAACATAAGCTTTGCAATCATACACTCCACATTACAGAATATAGCTCTCTCATTTGAGAGGGACAGGGAAATACATTACCTCTGGGTGACCTAATTCTTGTTCACTTACTGAATATCAATTTCAGCAAACATCTGAAAATTCAAAAATAAAAAATATCCTCAGTCTTAGCTGCAGGAGAAGGAGAAATACAGATTTAAGATCTAAACCAGTGCAGTTTTAGCTGCACACCTTTGAGCTGGTTTTAGCAGCTGAAGAGCTTGCAAGCACTCCAAATGTATTCAGAATTAGGTGCATTAAATACTTAGAGATACCAGCTTGAGCACTTTGCCAGAGCTGAGAGCATGCTTGGAATAGACATGGAGTACCTTTTCCAGCAGTCTGTTTCACTGCCTTTCTTTGGTGATGGTGTTGAAGGAAAAATGTAAACATCTTCTTAGTGAGGTCTAGAAAGTATCAATCAGCATTTAGTGCTGAAGGCTGTGAAAGAGAAATGTAAGGAATTTACTTGCTGTTGAATTATTGAGCCATGACATAGGATATGAAAGGAGTCACCACAATGCTAGATAAAGTGTAAGGATAAAGAGATAAAGTGAAGTTCTGAAATTAAATAGGGTTGCTGAAGCAGAGCCATTTGAATGAAGGTCAGATATTAGCAGTTTCTGATTACTGTGGGTAAGGTCTTACCATGTAAGGTCTCAGCAGGCAATTCAGCCAGTTTTAGTGTTTGGTTCCTTTTTTTTTCTTTGAGAATATGCACTACCTGTAAAGGTGAGCGTAAGTACTTTTGCAGAGACGTAATTAATATTACAGTAATCTGCACTCCAGCGGTATTTTTAGTATCCATGTTTACAGCCTTGCTGAATATGCTGCTGGATGATTCTCCCCATGATCATTCATACTCTGTTCGGAAGAAACAGAGTAACTGTCATCACAAACAATGTCATTGTCTTATTTCAGTAATGGTTATTAAAAAAAAAAAAAAAAAGAAGAAAGAAAGAAAGAAGTAGGTCTACTATATACCAAATCTGTAGTACTTAACACTGCTACGTCTTCTAGTGTTCTAGAGGCAGTGATAAAAGGCATCCCTTTTTCCCTGTGCCCTGCCTCCCCAGTCCAGTTCTCTGTGCTGCTGCCTGTGCCCAAAGCTGAGAAGGAGTAAAGATCCAAACACTGTCAGAACACGTGCACTGATAGACCTCCTGTGCCCTTGAAAAGAGTAAATTCTTTGCAAACCGTGGGCAGCGAGCACATCTGCTGATGAGCAGATTGCCAGCTAGACTATGCATAGGAGTATGCATACTCCTACATGTCTGGCTGACCAGATACAGCATAGACACATTCTTGATGGGTAATCTGGTGGGAGCACATTTGCTTGCAATAGTCTGCTCCCTCTTTCAGGAGATAGGGGCTGTTTCCCAGACATTTAGAAGACCAAATGGCACATATGGCTTGTCAGCCAGTAGGTGATCAGCAACTTACCAGGGCACATCTGGGGCTGCAGGCTGTCAGATGCTCTCAAGAACATTGAAACCCAGACTGTCTGTAACTTTCTACATAAAAGACACGAATATTTAGAATGCTTTAGGTTGGAAGATCATTGAGTCCAACCATAAGTCAGTAACATCTTAAACAGAATGCAGAATGAAGGGGGACTATGTAGTGATTATAGTGTGAGTTGCATCTTGTAACTGGGTCCATCAAAACTGTGTCAGGAATGAAATACTATTTTAGGATGGTAAACAAAAAGCAAACTTGGATCTTTGCCTATTTATTTTTCAGGTGTTACATGTTCACTCTAATAGTTACTAGATAAATGAAACATTCGGTATGCAGTATTTATTTTTTTCCTATTCGTAGATCTTTGTTGTCAGTACTTTTAGAGTACTGTTGAGATAAAACCTCAAAACTTCATAATATTTTTGGTCTGCTGTATTACCATTGCACATCTTTCATTGTGTAACTGACAAAATTACAAATATCACTTTAATAACATAAATATTAATCTTATTAGCAAATTGTTAAAGAAGTAATACTGTGTTTTTAGGTTTTTAAAATACATAACTGCATGGGAGTTTGAAAAAGTTTGAGGTTAAATTTGAGGTTAATTTGAGGTTAAAGACTGCTGCTTGAATAGGAATATATAAATAAATTCTGTAATTTCAGTATAATTCTGTTGAAGTCAGTTCCAATAATCTAATTTACTGCAATGATATAAACACTCTTTCAATATTTATCTTCCTGTATCCGGTCACACATTGTGTAGACACACTCCCCTCTCTGAAAAGCTGAAAGCAGCTGCTTTAAAAAGTCTGAGGTGAAAACAGTCACTGTGCCCTCATCTAGCAAGATGAGCTACTACATTTTGGAGGACAGCACTGCAACCACTGATTCCTTAGTAGCAGCCATACCTCCTCAAACTCACCTCCAGCACCTTGGGATGTATCCCATCCAGTTGCAAAGACTTGGATTTGTCAGATTTACCTTAGTGGTTCCTAAATTGGTTATCATCTACTGTTGGTAGAATTTCTCCCCAACAAAAACTGTTCCTAGGTCCTCAGAGATGTGAGACCAGGCCTCACCAGTAAAGATTTAAATACTTTTAGGGTTTCCACACTACTGTTGGTGTGTTAGAAGTACCAAAAGGAAAAAAAACATTTAGACATCACTGGCCAAATACCTCCCCTTGGTAATGCTCTTACCATAGTCAGACTACATGTAAACACAGTGTTTGAGTTATGGATCTAAGTTAAAATATGAACTTTCAATCCATAGCCAATGAAAAAATCCTATTTTCTCTTAAATATCACATTAAAACCAGTGCAAGGTGTAAGTTTGTTTAATGCTGTATTATTTCTTTATATATACAGGTATAAAACAGTACACAGCACTGCCTGTGATGCAGCTTTAAAAGCCATACAGTTGAAAAGTTCTGAGATAGTCAGAAAGCTATCAGTTTTCAAGATGTGCCCATTGATTTTTCAGGATCAGGATTCAGACATAATCTGTTTATATGGGATAGTATGTGACTGTATTCAGAGTGTAACTGGTAAAAATAAGTGCAACTGAAAGGCTCTCTCCCCTGTTTTATTTGTGATTTTTCATCTCAGTTTGTGCAAAGTAGCTATCCTGACTAACAGAGCTCTGAGGCAAAATAATTAATTTCGTGAACCTGATTATTTATAGTCACAAAATTATAAATGCTACCTATTGTAACTGGAAACAATACTTTTTACTTTGCTAGGGAAAAAAAAAAAAAACCCAAACAATGAATATTTAAGTCATTTGGCCTTGAAGAAGTCTAGGAATTCACTGTTAGGAAAGTTGTATTTGAATCTTACCTCTTCAAGCAAACAACACTGTAACCAGAGACTAGAGAAATGAATGACTACATCTTTCTGTTCTCTTAATTCTGAGCAGAATTAATTGCTGCATCAAAACCAAGATAAATCCAAGCCAACCACAAACTGATCCATGTAACAGACTAAGACTTCAAATCAAAAAGATTTTTGAATCAATAAGCTCTTCCTATTTTGGAGAGTTAATATGTTAGACTGCCATAGTAACCAGTGATTACATGTCCAGTAAAATTTGGTATAATCAGTTACACATAGTTTGTAGGAAAATGTTTTGGAATAAAAGACTGAATCTTATCTGATTTCATTTCTAAGAGAAATTGCTTTGATTATTAATAAGATTTTTTTTCCTTATGGGACTTTAAAAGTATTTGGTACACATTTATGTAAGAAAAAAATGTTAATACCATTTTTGTCCATGGAAAAGTAATTCTTGTAATTAAGGGATGTTCACTACCCCAAATAGACAGATTCTGTCAATTCAGAATATTCTGGTTCCAGGTTTGGCACTGAAGAAAAACAAAAGGGCTTTCACTGCAACAGCCAATAACCTTGCAATAGTTAAAGATCTTTTTTTTTCTCATCAGCAGCGTTTGATAACACTGCTTATAATTTTTGTAGAAATGTTGAGTGCTCCTGGGAAGTGTTAATGACCATGGGAGCAATAAGTGCTTTGGTGTGGTTGTTACATGAAGATCTCACCTGTCTCCTCTGATGTCTCTGATGTAGGTCAAGGAGGAAGCTGAAGTAACGCAGAAGTAGTTTGAATTCTAAAGGCCAGAAGTTACAGGATGTGAAGATTTGGCCATTATTGATTTTCTTTTTCTCCCTCAAATCTTACAAAGAAAGATACTGGTGTTTGGATATGTTATCTGTGTCTTTTTAATCTTGAAACCAGACAAATTTAAGTATGTTGAACTTAATGCTATTATGAACATTCAAAAGGGAACATTCAAGAAAAGGGAACTGCCTGTTTATTTACAAAAAATGTTTTGTCTCAAAAGCATGTAAAAGCATTGGCACATGCTAACTAAACTGCCTAATTCTTAAACTTCCCCAAGAAATGAACTGGTTTTAGCCAGTGCCTTACCTAGCAGTTGCTTCTTTCCCTATGTGATACTCAGTAATTGTGCAGAGGTATGTTCACAGTAGGGTCCTGGAGTCATTAGGGTTGAAAAAGACCTCTAAGATCATGCAGTCCAACTGTAAACCTAACACTGCCATATTCACCACTAAACCATGTCCTCAAACACTACATCTACACATATTTTTTTAACACTTCCAGGGATGGTGATTCTGCCATTTCCCTGTGCAGCCTATTCCTGTGTTTGACCACCCTTCCAGCAAAGAATTTTTTCTCAACACCTAATCCAGACCTCCCCTGGTGCAACTTCTGGCTGTTTCCTCTTGCCCTGTCACTTGTTGCTTCAGAGAAAAAAACAGCCCCCACCTGTTTACAACCTCTTTTCAAGCAGAAAGAAGCTATTAGCACATGATTTTTTAGAAGATCTGTAGTCCTAAAAATAATTTCCATCATTTGGATTTCTCCACCTTCTGGTGAATTATGTGGAACAGTTAGCAGAGGAGGCACGAGAAGATTAATGATGACTGTGCTGATTAATTTTTGATTGGGAGTATCATTCATTAATTTAACTTCAAATTCTGTTTTTTTGGCTGCTTTGCACTAGTTTGAGTAATTAAATAAATGCTTAAGAATTCTAATATAGGAAAATTCCATTCCTACAAATAAGGAAAGGAAAGCCCAGATTACAAATTGGAAAAAACCTTTCCTAATGCAGTTTCTCTGTGTGAATGGCAGCTCAGCATCTTGTGCTTGCAGCTCTCTCTGAAATAAGGAAGGAATTTTTCCTGAATAAGGAAATATCTTTTTGCATGGAATGTTTTGTATATTTTGTTATTATTTATAAAGATAATTTGGTACACATTATTAAAATATATTTAACTCCTGCATGCATTCTCCCCTTGAATAATAAGATCTTCATTATAAAGAACAAGATTTCCAAAGCTGAGGTAGTAAATGAGTGGTACTGTAATGCTGAGGTGCCATTGCTTCTGGTAAAGTGTTGTGGTTAACCAAGCTGCCAAGCCCCACACAGCTGCTTGCTTACTCCCCAAATTGGGATTGGGAAAAGAATTGGAAGGGTAGAAGCTGGAAAACTCATGGGTTGATATAAGGACGATTTAATAGGGAAAGCAAAAGCCACACATGCAAGCAGAGCAAATCAAGGAATTTAGTCACCACTTCCCATGGGCAGGCAGGTGTTCAGCCATTGCCAGGAAACCAGGGACTCATTACATGCTATGGCTACTTAGGAAGGCAAATGCCAAACATCCAAACATCCCCCTGCTTCCTCCTTCTTCCCCTACTTCAGATACTGAGCATGATGTCATATGGTATAGAATATTCCTTTGGTCAGCTGGGGTTATCTGTCCCAAATTCCCACATTGTGAGTTCCCATGTCCCCAGTCTCCTTGCCAGCATGGCAGTATCAGAAGCAGAAAAGGTCTCATCTCTGTGTTATTGCTGCTCAGCAATAACAAAAACATCTCAATATTATCAACCTTGTGTTCAGTACTAATCCTAAATACAGCCCCATGCCAGCCACTGTGAAGAAAATTAACTCTTAGCCCAGCCCAAAGCAGCATATAAGGCTGGTGAGTTATTTGCCTTGAAAATCAGAACATTCCAAACACAAAATAAAGCTCAGATGTGTAGCTGTTAGTCCCTTACTGACATCAGTACTAACCAAGCACGATACTTCTTGTTCTAGCTGCAGTCATTGATGATGTTCAAGTCACAAAAGCCAGAAAAGCATAAATAATAATAATAATAATAAAAAAGTTCATTCTTTAGGCAATTTCCAAAGAAGAATGTCAATAGTCTTGGTGAGCATGTTCAGTGTCAGCTGCTGATTGCTGACTCAATGCAGCACATTAGGGAGTCACCTCCTAATCTCTATGTCATGGTGTTATCTTTGCATCTTACACTTCCCTCTGCCTTACACACACCTATTTAAAACTATTTAATGGGCTTTTTTCAAAAATATTTTTTTAGTATTGTTAGTATTTCTCAATGTGGGTTATTGCATAAACCACCTAGTGCTTGGTTTCTTTTTCATAGGTTCTGAGTATTTCTGGATTAAAGATTTTAATTTCTTGTACGATAAATAAAACATTGAAGATCTGAATTAATTATTCCCAATGCAACATGTGCCATGGGGTTTCACACAGAATACCACAGCCAAGCAACTCATGTCTAGCTAAAGCAAACCCTAACAAAGTCTTGATACCCTGCTCTAACACTTACGTACACACACACACACCCCCAGAATGGAGCCCTTATGATACATATTTTAAATATATTTTTTAAAGTAATTACTACTGAGAAAATGCTATAAAAAGTGCATTGATACACTGTAATTTGGCATATTTAACATAACTGTGGAATGTGCTATGGTTCTACAGTACATTATCAATGTGGCATTTGAAACAAGGGGCGAGTATTTAATTGGAAATCTTCAAAACAGTTGTTTGGATTTGGAATCCATTATGCTGAGTTTTCCCCAAGAAGAAAAAGTTGTGAAGTGCAACTTATTTTTATTCTCCTGTGGCTGTGTCCTGCCCTTCATTTGCTCCCAGGCTACAGCTGGAATCTGTGGGACCTACCCAGATACAATCTGTGTGTGGCTTCCTGCCGGAGCAGTTTTACTCAGACAAGCAATGCTTCTGCTAGTCTCTGTCAGAAACACCAATAACTGCTGCACCATACCAGCAGGCAAGCACACTTGAGAAATCCTTATACAGAAATGGCAATGGGAGAAAATGAACAAATTGGAAAGAGGTACCCTGAATGTTTGTGCTGAATTGTAGCCATAAAACCAGAAACTAATTTGACGTAAAGGGAGCAGAGTGTACCTGGAAAAACATCATTCTGTCTCTGGTAGAACTTCTTACCTAAATCACACTGGAAATCTGGCTCTTCTGTGACTCTGGCATTTCTCAGATTTGAGATATACTGTGTAAGGTAAGTCAGGAAAAGTAATTCTCAGTCATTTATCTGGGAAAGAAGAAAAAGAAGAAACAGCTGCAGCCATTTGTTACCACTTTAGATTTAAATAGTGGGTTGATACAAGAAAATAATCACTGAATGTCTTTGTGTTTATAATTGAGGAGGTGTCATCTGATGGGAGAAAGTCTTGATGATGCAAAGAACAACTATTTCTACATTTCTATCTCTTTGGGCTTTTAAAATATGTTTAAAGCACCCCTTTTTTGGTAACAAGGCTAGCAGCCAGAGCGGTGTCTCCAAATACTGCTCAATTTCTTACCGTACAAGCCACCAAAAAATAAGGTGGATGTGGCATTGTCTAAAGATGGTAATGGGAGTTCCACCACCACTTCTCTTCCAATTCCTTCCATTGGATTTCCTGCACTGAGGCAGAACTCTGTGTACTGTGGGAAACTCAAAACAAATACTGTGTCATTAATCTAGTCAGAACAGAAAAGAGCACAGCACTCACAATCTGCTAGTTTAGGGTGGCTGGGAAGTCTCAGGGTGTTGGGACACCTGCTGTTAAGTTCTCTGTCAGTGACATAGTTGAGCATCCCACGGCCTAGTGAGGAGAAGTCCTCCCTGAGTAGGCATTTTTGAGGTGGGCAGCAGACCTAGAAACTTCCTGGGGTGTGGGAGAGCTGACCCCCAGATCTGTGTGCTAGTCTCTGTCAGTGTGTGTTTGGCACTTACAAGATGACAGAGAAGCCCCAGTGGAACTGAGGCTGGAAGTATCCCTACTCCCCAGGGAATCTGCGATCAGTTCTTCCACATCGTACCACAGAGTGTTTTCAGTACAAGCTAAAGAATATAGTCAAGAACTGCTTGTTTGAGCCCCAGAAGCTGACTGATCAGAGCAATATCTGTCGAGTGCATTTTCAAAGAGGTTTTGACTGCAGAAAGGCTTCAGCAATACTCACTTGGGCTGGAGGCAGCCCTGGAAACCTTGGGGCAAAAAAAAAAAACATGGCTTAACAGGGCTGCTTGGAGGCTCCTCCACCGTCCCCCAGAGAAGCAATGTCTTCATTCTTTTGCATCCTGAGGCCAAAGGGTGATTTGTGGTGCTGGTGAAGTCCATCATTGCAGCCGTGTACATACTGAAAAGAGTAGCTTTTGTCAGAATAGCTCCTGATGGCTGAAGGGAAACCCCCACCGAGGCTGCCAGCACCAGGCAAAGGTAAACGTTGAGGCACAGTTTCAGTACTTAAATTTACAGATGAATTTAAGTACTTAACTTAGAATTTAGTGCTTAAATTCAGAACCTGTAGAGCAGCCCGAAGCATTCCTCGCCATCCAGCCCTCTCCGGCCCGGGGGAGGCGGCTCCTCGGGGCTATGGATGCCGGCCCGAGGGCAGAAAGCGGGCAGGATCCTCCCCGGCCCCCCCAGAGCGGCGCTGCTGGAATTCTCGGGCCGGAGAGTTTGGCTGGGACGCGCCGGCGGCTGCGGCGGGCGCTCTGCGGGTGCTNTGAAGACATGAGGGCTGGTGCTCTGCCTGCCAGCACCAGCCCTAAAATAGTTGGAGTCTGCTCATTGCTTGGAAGCTATATGTAAATGGCAATGGTTTGGAAATGGTCTTCTGAATAACTTCTGCTATAAGGAGGTGCTATGTAATTGGATTTACTCCCTTTCAAATAACTGCCTGAATGGGAATACCTGTTTTAATATTCACTTTCATCAGTGTTAGCTGCACCTTCCATAATTCCATTCAAACTTTTCTTTTCTCAATTATCAAATTTGAGTATTTTACCTTAAGATTCATTACCCTGTTTTCTCTAACAAGAGATATTGGAACTTATGATCAATCACACTGAATATTAAACACATGGTTTGACTTGGGATATTGAATTAATCCTTTTTTCTTTTTGTTTTCTACAGCTGACTCTGAAACACCTCATCTTGCTCTTCCTTTTAACCACAGTCACTCTGTGAAAGAAAAACCAGATTTTTTAGATTTGGCTCACAAGCAGAAAGTTGAAAGAAAACCTGCGCCAAGAATCCGTGAAAGAAGAAGTCAGATGAAAACTCAGGTGTGTTTCTCTTCTAGTTATGTTGGTTGTTGCTTGTACAGCTCTTGCTGAATCAATTGGAAAATGAGTACAGGAAGATAGAATTTAATAGGAAATATTTTTTTTAACCATGTTGTATTTATTGTCTTTATTTCTTTGAAAGACAAGATAATAGATTTCAGTTTTTGGTTACAAAGCAGTGAGCTAGCTAATAGTAGTAAATTTAATGTTACTAGTTTCTGTCATATGCATTTAACTGTAATTATTTTCCACAAAGGTAAAATAATACTGAAGTTAATTCTCTGAAGTAAGTTAAGGTGTGAAGACCATTGGTGAAGTGTGATGCTGTGGACGGAATCAACTGGATAATGAGAAACAATCGGTTTTCATCATTACAGCTTACTTCTAACAGCCATGCTCCAGTTTCACCTGTGGCAATAGTATAGTTAGATATTTGGGACCTAATATCACTCCTTCCAGATTTTTAATGCTATTTTTAACCTAACAGTTTTATTATTTATCAGCTGAACGAGCCAACAACAAAAAAAAATCATCATTTATACAATGCTGTAGATTAAATAAATACACGCAACTGACATGGGTATTCTTTTGTAATTAAATTAGGAAATGTAGTGTTCTATTTTACATTCAAGTTAGAATTTATTAGTATGTTTGACAATTTAACTGAGCAACATTTAATGCTATTTTATTCTTGACAACTTACCACTTTTCATTCCATGAGTTTTGTTTCTTTTGATTATTTGTTCTGATTAAAAATAGCTGCCTTTTCATTGAGAAGGGAAGAATTGCAAATCACAAGGGTGCTCTCTTTCAAATAATTATTTTAGTTCATCACATGACAATGGATATATTCTGGCCTAAAAAAGAAACTGAATTTGACATATATGTGCCCGTTATTGTACTTTTTTCTTTCTCAGAAAACACAAAACAGTGGAGCAGTTAAGAACTACAGGAACAATGTACTTATTATTATAAAAAGTAATACTGCTAGTACCTAGTGTAGTAGTATACTATTATTTTCCAGTGAATAGTACAGGCTTCTGAAATTTAGAGAGACACAGATTAATACTCATGCCATATAAATACGTTTGGGGTTTTTTTAAATTCTATTGTAAGATGGGTTTGTCCACATGCTCAGTATTATGTCAGCATGCATGTCATCTCTGTTAGCATCCTGTCTTTAGGGCCAGGCTGAGTAAAACTGCTTTCCATTTCGTATTCCCCTTAGTCCTAAAATAGGATGGAGCATGCGTGTACAACATCTTTTCTCCTGTAAAACCTTCTGCTATTCCCTTTGAGACAAAGCATTCTGATTCTGTTTTACAGTGGTAAAAAGCTGTCCAATTGTTGAGCTTCTTTGCTTGGCAAATATTTTCTCCCTATTAAAAATCTGGACTACAATCACAGCTCTGTTGAAATCCCTTTTGACCCTAGAAAGGTAAAGAGAATATCTTCCATACTTGATTGAAATAAAATGGCTATATTTTTATCAATTTACATTTGTAAATTAAATCATTTAAGTGATTTTTTTTTTTGCTGTTAGTCTAGAAGATTTTTGTCTGATTTCACAGGAAAGGTTAGAAGAAACTGCAGTCAGATGACATGCATTTAATATTTTCTAAAAGCTTGTAAGTGGGACTTTTATCTTAGATGCTGAAGGTTCAGTATTGTAAGGTTGCCTTACAATTTCATGTGTAATCACTGATCCTGAGATGTATTCTAATCTTTCTAGTAGAGGAATTCCATAGAAACAAAAGAGTCTTGGGAGTTAAAGGTTTGTGAATTCTTTAGAACTTCTATTGGAAAAAAACCCCAGAACCTCAAAAAATAGAAATACTCATTCTCAGATCTTATGTAGATACGAAAAAATGGCAAATCATAGTATTCCCTTGCCAGATCCACTAATTAGGGATATATATGAGTGTGCCCACAAGTAAAGGAAGGAAATTTTTTCAAACTGAACAAATACCTGTATTGTTTAATTGAAATTCAGTATTGGACCAAAGAAATTAGTGGGTTTTAATCCTAACCTCTGTGTTAGTCAAATAAATTATTCCAACAGATGTTTCCTCTTTCCCTATACATATTAGGTGATGTTTGACCTTGGCAACTGAAAAACAGGCATTAAATACCTTTTTAACCTACATCTGAGATCCACTGAGGATTGCATGCAGCTTGAACAATGAAAAAAGCCACTTATTACTAGATTACTGAAATATGTCATTAATCTTTCCTTTTTGATGATGTAAAAACAATAGCAATTTTATATTGAATTTTAAGTTAGTTTTGGACATTCAGAGAAAAGTATGGATATTGGCAGGAAGTAATTAAAAGAAACCAAATCACTTAACTATTTTAAAGATACCTAATACCTTCCAATGGGATACACCATTATTAATGCTCCCTGAGTAGAGAAGTTGTTGAAATTTTGATGTTGTAAACTTAATCTGTAACCAGCAGTTTCTGCTCACATTGCCTTACTCATGGAATTGAATATTTTGGTAGGTATTTGTAGCAGTTCAGAATGTGGTGGGAAAGTCACCTTTTGTTTCTCCATTGTATGTTATGGGATTAGCAATGTGGAAATATCTTTAAATTATACAATCAGCATGTAATAAATACTCTGGATTGTGCCAGCTAATCATGAGCCACTTTTCTGCCACATGCACAGCATGAATATTTCAAATTCTAGTCCAAAAGGAAGGAACTTGTAGTGAATGTTAGTTTTTCCTCTTAGGCAGATGCTTAATGAACATTGTGTTTAGTTAGTTAAATATTTATAAATGCCTTCTGTTGTGGTGATTTGTGTGGTCTGAAATCTACACAGGATAATGTATATTGGGTAACAGGTAGGAATGTGTCTGTTCTGCATGTATACTGGGCTTTTGTTTATATGAATCTAACTAGCATTATAATAAATAGAATTATTAAGGCATATTATATGAAAGGTTTTTGGGGAGAAATGATACTGAGACTGTAATGATATATACCCAAAACATAAGCTTTGCAATCATACACTCCACATTACAGAATATAGCTCTCTCATTTGAGAGGGACAGGGAAATACATTACCTCTG